CTACAATTGTTCCTGAACTTGGGGATTAATGACTCACAGACACTTGGGTTTCTTCCATGGATGCTTCACACTCATCCAACTTGGAGCACCCAGGAGTCCCTGGGTGGGGGCTGACTGGGAAGTGGAAGCTGACACTCTGAGGACTTCCTGAGATGTAGTTTCTTCATGAAGGGGAAGGACAGGCATGTGTTCCCAAGATTCACTGACTGGGAACTGGGCATAGTGGACAATCTCAGAATCACTGTCTGCGAAGAGTCCCTTCTTCCTGTGGTATCCCTGGCCTCATTTCCCCATCTGAACTATTTCTCCACTTCAGAATTCTAAGCTGAGTCAGGAGAAGGCCCTAATGTCATGACTCTTTTATAGGACTCCCTGGCCGGCCTGGGCAGGCAATCAACGGCAAGGATGGAGACAGAGGGTCCCCAGGGGCTCCAGGAGAAGCAGGCCGACCTGGCCTGCCAGGCCCTGTGGGACTGCCAGGTTTCTGTGAGCCTGCAGCCTGCCTGGGGGCTTCAGCCTATGCCTCAGCCCGTCTCACTGAGCCGGGATCCATCAAGGGGCCATGAACAGCAGCACAGAACACAGCCCACAGGCATCCTGGGTCCCCTCGATGTGGACAGGCATTCCAGCCCAGGAAACTAGCTTTCCCAGGACCTTCTGTCTAGGACTCAGTGGTCCTAAGGACAGAAGTTCTAAAACATGGGGAAAAGGAAGAGAGAGCATCAGAGTGAAAAGGTAGCTGACAGGTCAACTGTCACCAGAGAGTGAACACTCCAAAGGGAACAGTGTGGACAGGATGGCTTTCCTTCTGGAGCACCAATTGGATGTTACCAAATGTCTCCTTTATCTGTTCCATTCTCCACTGGCCATCTTGTCCTTGGGACAGGTAGGCTGAGGTCTCTCTTGGTTCCTGAACCCATTCTTATTCTATGGACTCACTGGATGACTGCTGGGGGTGACGTCTCTGAGGTGGGCATCCTTAAGCCAGCCCCACTTCCTTCCTGCTTCTCACCTGAGTATTTAAACTCCATCTCCCTTTTCTTTTTGCCATTACCCTCTTCTGCCCCCTTTTCCCAGCATCCACCATGGCCTTTCTGTAAATAAAAGCCCCCAACTTAGTTACAAACCAGAACATGAGTTGTTAGTCTCAATTTTTCTTTCTTTTCCTTTTTCTTTTGCAGTGTGGAGGATCAAACCCAGGCTAGGCAAACACTCTACAATTTAGCTACATCCCCAGACATGGGCTCAATTTCTTGTGGATGGGGATGGAGGTTGGTACTGCCTCCACCACCTGGGCAGAGTTGCCAGGGGCTAGGGAAGGGGAGGGGGATGTGGGGCACATCCTGAATTGTGAGCATGGAGACAGCATGGCCTATATGAGGAACATCTGTGGGGAAGAGCTAGGGAAGGGAAGGCAGATGATAATTTGCTCTGTGGCTTTGGGCAAACCCCTTCTGAACATTTGGATATCTGTGGCAAGGACTCAATCATGTTATATTTATCCAAACATAGCACACCCAGTGTCCTGTCAGGGCCTGGCAACTGGGAGTCCTCTGGAGTTTTGGTGCCTGATATGTGCAGCCCTGGGGTAGGAGCTTAGAGTGGAAGATATAAGACCTACCTGGGCTGTTGCCTTCCATGGGCTGTGTGTGTGTGTGTGTGTGTGTGTGTGTGTGTATGGTGCTGGGGATCAAACCCAGGGCCTTGTGCATGCGAGCAAGCACTCTACCAACTGAGCTATATCCCCAACCCTTCCACAGGCTTTAAGCTGTGAGAAAAACACACATGGGTCTGGATGATCAAAATCTGGAGGAGACTAGCCCATGGCTCTTTCTAGGCTAGCTAGGAACTTCTGAAATTCAAAAGGCAACCAATTTGTTTATCCCAGTATTGATGTGAACATGTATTGCCCCCCAAAGAAGCACTCTGCCACCCGTAGCTGTTTGGAGGCCCTGGATTCCAGCCTGAGGTCCAAGCATTTTCTGATCATCTGTGGCCCTCCCACACCTCACCACAAATGCCCATCCTCACTTCTCCCTTTCTCAACACTCATGCTAGTGACACTGAACTCACTTACCCCATCCCAGGGACACCAGAAGGGCCAAGGTGGAGTAGCACCAAGGGCCACTAAGATAGCTTTGCTCTTAGTGCTTGGCAAATCCTGTTAGAGCACCCCAGACCCCACAGAGATCCTGATAAGTGCCTGCCAGGAAGCCCTTAGAACACAGAGCGCCCGGGGAGGGAGGAAAGAGGACAAAAGCTGCCCCTGAACAGGCTCTTAAGTATTATAAACTTGGCTCATATACTTGGTCCTAGTACCTGAAACCTTGGACTTAGAGAATACACCTATGCCCTGAGGTTTCCTTATTTGCAAATCCTTTTCTTGTCCCTCTCTGTGACTTTACAGGACTGAGTCCACTAGAGGGTTTCAACTACCACAGAGAAATGGATGATTCATTTCTTATGACTCAGGCTTTAACAGGACTGAAAGGGAGCTAATTCCAAAGGACCAGTGTCCAGTACCCTTTATGAGACTTTCTGGTGGGTGAATTTCACTCAGCCCATTTAGTGTGATCTACAAGTCTCCCACATGCCTCTCTGACCTCACCCCTATGCTCAGACCCTGGTCCATTCCACCCTAGCCATGCCAGCCCTGATGCTGCTCCTGACATGCCATGCTGCACATGTGCTAAACCTGCTGTCGGAATGCTGTTCCTCCAAATATTATTACTGCTCGCCACCTTGCTCCAGGCTTCCAGGTCCCCTCCTGTACTTGATTGTTTCTTCTGAACATTTATCATATTCAACATAAAACACCAGAATATGAGCTCTACAACGGCAGGAATTTTGATCTCCCATTTACTTTCTATTTTCCAGCACACAGCAAGCTCAACAAAATACTTATGAAATGAATGAATCATATGTTCAGGTTGCTCAAAGGAGTAAGACCCCACCCACCAATGATCAAACCAGAAAGGAAGAGACTTGGTCTCAGCTTGTGGGTGGCTGAGGTATGTTCAAATGGCCAAGTGTTCCAGTTATTCTTACTACTGCCAAGAATAGAGACCAAGCCCTCTACAAGCGAGTCTTGGAAGACAGAAAATCTAGTACAACAAAAAGGAAGTAGGAACTCAACTCCACTGTTTGCAATTAGGAAAAGAGAGATTTAAGCAGCTTAACAGAAAGGACATTGAGCCAGGTGTGGTGGCAGACACCTGTAACTCCAGGTATTCAGGAGGCTGAGGAGGAGGATCACAAGTTCAAGGCCAGTCTAGGCAACTTAGCAAAAACCCCCATCTCCAAAATAAAATGAAGAAAGCCCTGAGGGTGTAGCTCAGTGGTGGAGTGCTCCTGGATTCTGTCCCCAAGAGAGGGAGAGAGAGAGAGACACAGAGACATAGACACTGCAGGAAGACAGTCCAGCCCCTTCCAGAGGCTCACTACCAAATCCAGGACACAGTCTGGCTGGCCTCTCTAACTACCACTTCAGTCTATACAGGACTTCTTGCTGGGAAAGCAATGGGAGCCCCTACCCACTAATTCCCTGCTTCTATACTTTCTCCTAACAAAGAAGCCAGAGTGACCCTGTTAAATCAAGGCAGATCATGTCACTTCTTGGCGCCAAACCTTCAATGGTTTCCCACCACACCAAAAGCCTGAATTCTTACAATGACCTACTAAATCTGCCCTCCCTCCTGACTGTATCTCCTACTCCCCTCCAGCACACAGACTGGCCCCTTGGCCCCCACAATAAAGCCTTCAAACTTGAGACTACCTCTTCCTAAGATGCCCCAGACATCTGCTTAGACCACTAGTCACTGAACCCTATTACATTGTTTTTTTCCTATACATACCTACCTACCTATGATAATGTTTAGCTTATAAATTAAGCACAATAGGAGGATAGAAATAATAAAAGAATTATAATAATATGCTATAATAAAATTATAGTGTCTCTTGAAAGACTTAGGACAAATATCAATATTTTTGCAACATGGTCAGAAAGCAAAACCAGGATGGCAGGGGCTACTATATCTTATATGAGTCACAGTGGGGCTCTGATCCAAAGATACAAAGTTACCCACCTACCAGGTATATGCAGTCCTAGTTTCATGTTTTCAGAACACATGGGGGTATCTTTCTCTTCATCTCTAGTCCAACTCTTCAGGAAGTCTTCTTCCCTGGAAACTATCCTGGATAATAAGAGCCTAGGATTCCCCTGGGCATGTTGTCTGATAGTGCAATCTCATCCCACCAAACTGCACTCATTCTGACATACAGGTAGTACTGGGAATTAAACCCAGGACTTTGCAGATGGCTAGGCAAGCACTCTACTCCTGAGCTACATCTCCCCCAACCTTTCCCAAAGAGGCAGAATACTAGCAAGCTCTCAGACTTCAGCAAAGGGTCAACCCAGATAAAGGCAGTATATACACACAACACAGGCTCTGCCTTGGATTCAAAGATCAACTTTGTTGGTGACATGCCATTTCATTCCAGACTTTGACCAACTTGATTCTGCTCCCTGTTCATCTGCCAGATCTCAGGGAGCAGAGTCTCACTCTGGTCAGCATCTCAGGAACCCATCAGTCAATCTCCTTTTGGCTCTACTTATGCCTCTGGCATCCATACACTGTGGGTGACTAGATCAATTACATAATAAAATACTAATTACTGCTGCCATATGTAAGGAAGATCAAAGAGGCAGCCAGGGCAGACCAAGCAGACCCAAAATAATCTGATGTTAGTTACAAAATGAAGAAATGATTACAAATAAAGCTTTGAGGAAACACTGGCAAGAACTGGAATGGTCTACAGAGGAAGGCCATGAAGAGCAGGAGGAAGCCATGAAGAGAATTGTGTGAGACATGGGTAATGGTGTTGATAACACTCAACATTAGGACTATATTGTCATACACTAGCACCCCACTCCCCTAAGGTAACAATCACACTGGTGGGCAACATATGACACACAAACTACATCATAAAGACAAGTTATGTAAATCTGCATTGCAATTTTTAATGTTTCACTTGTGCAGAACTGAAAATTGTATTTAAAGGCACAGAAGGAAGGAAAGGCAGTTTTCAGAGCATGAAGTCACAGGAAAAGGATGCTGGATAAAAAACACAGGACAGCTGTGCTTTAGCTATAGGAAAATAATAATACAGTACTAAACTAGATTTTTATTTTTATTATATTTCCATGTGAAGAAGACATCACTCAAATGTCAGCTGAGCAAATGACTTTATGGCCAGACACCAAAGGTACTCAGTCCGTCCCACTTTGGAATAAATGCCCAGAAGGTAAACATTATCAGTGAGTGGGAACGTCAGGCACAAAATAAGTTCTCATTCAAAAAGTGGACAGAGATTTGAAGCAGTCAAACCTACAGCTTTTAAAACTGGAAATCATTCATGACATTTGTTTTGATGGAAAACGTTACCTATATAATAAGAACTATAATTTTCAAAATTGGAATCAGGCCTAATTAAATAGTACTTAGGATTACAGATAAAAATTACAAAAATAAAAATGGAAACTCTTCTGTCCTTGAAAGATAGAAAACTATATTTTTCCTATAATATTGTAAGAGAATCATCAGTATATCACTCGTATATCTCTTAAGATGTTATTCTTTTTTCCCTGTTCTGCCACTTTTAATATTGCAAAATCTGTTCAATTTTTGCTATGTGGAAGGAAGCATTGTTTAATTAACTACAAGAAAATGACTGAATGAATGAGAAAAATCTAGTTTACCTACCACACCCACCAGGTGGAAGGAAAGATAAAAATTGTCATTTTTTAAAAAACAAAAACAAAACTCAATGATTTAAAACATCCTATACATAATTTCTAATTTCAAAACAATATTAGAAATTCCTGATCAGTGTGCACCAAAGAGAGGGAACAGAAATTTGAAATTTGGAGAACCATACAGCATATTTCTAACAACTTTCATTAAATAATATTAGCCTTACCAACTATTATCTTTCTTTCTTATTTAAAACACTGATTGGCCAGGTTAAATTATAACAGCATGAAGGTAAAAAACAAGTTTCAACTTAGGCATGAGCACAATGATTTCTGCCTCACAGAACTCAATAGTAATGTTCCCTCTTTTAAATGGCCCTATTACCTTGCAGGCAGATTAAATATAAGTGTATAAATAAAACAAGGTCTGTATTTTCTTAAATAATTTTACAAACTGATGGTGAATCAGATGTTGAAGATAAAACTATGCCTTTAAAAATATTCAGCCTCAAAATTTTATCCAGTGTTTCCTTTAAGAAATGGATTATTTAAATCATTTTTGAAATGGGATAGTAAATGTATTTAAATCTTCTGTACTTAATCATTTTTCTTAAAAAAAAAAAAAGTTTAAAAACATCAAGAGCTGGAACATGCTGCCAGGACAGAAATAATGAAAAATGTCTTCAGTCATAGACCCTGAGCATCTCAGTCTTGTTTTGTACTTCTCAAAGCTTGAAGTCTTTCTAGTAGTGGAGGATGAGAATAATGCCACATTGAAAACAACCAGTCAGAAACAGGGAATCCCAAGTTATCTTTGTTTAGTTTGATCAAAGCAGAATATAAGTCTTTAGCTTTCCCAAGTTTCTTGGCAAATGCATCAGCTTGAAACTCAAATCTGCGACTTAGGACTGTTAGACAAAAAGAAAGAACCTGAAAAGGGAAAGGAAATGTTTTAGCCACCCTGCATCTCTTTGCTGTCCAGGAAGGTTCTCTGAGCTGAGACTGCAGTTGAAACCCATTATGGTAAGAAGAAGGGCAGGTCAAATGAAACAGCACTGGTATTTGGGGAAACTATGGAGAGAAATTATTATAAACTGTGCCTTTCCCCACCAAGCAAACAGACTAGACACAAATATATATCCACACAAATGTTATTCTTACTAAAAAACAGCTGTTTCTGAGAAGCTGCCATGTGCAGGAACTAAGGTAGACATTTTACATATTCTCTAGCAATCTCTTACTTCTGCTGTACAGTTTAAGAAGTGAAGCTCAGTGGGGTTAGACAAACTGCTGGAGGTGACACAATTCAAAGGTGTAGTGCTGAACTTCCTGGTGACTCCAAAGCCAGAGGACACCACCTTTCAGAGACAGACTTAAGTCATGGTAATTTGTATTTGGAACACCCCCCATCCCAGCTTTTTTTTTTTTTTCTTTTAAAAAATATTCTTAATCACTTATCTATATTCATTTATTTATTGGTATGGGGACTGAACCCGGGGTACTTAACCACTGTGCTACCTCTCCAGCCCTTTTCATTTTTCTAAAATTTTGAGACAAGGTCTCACTACATTAGCTTAGGGTCTTGCTAAATTGCTGAAATGGGCCTCTAATTTGTAATCCTCCTGTGTCAGCCTATTTAGTTGCTGGGGTTACAGGTGTGCACCACTACACTTGGTCCACTTATCTACCTTTAAAGGACCATGACACTCTTCACTGATATTATTCTAAAAAATTGTCATATTCTGAGAACAATTTCAAAATTGAATTTTTTATTAGTGTTCTGATCTATGGTAATATTGCCAGAATAAGTATACAAGTTTTGAAGACCATTATGAAAGGAAAAAATCCATTTGAAAATTAAATTATGAGAGGAACATTTCTTTTCATACTGAAGTTCTACAAGTTGAATAACATAATGTCTTTTCTTAAATTATTCTGAAATCAGGTATGGTGGCACACACCTCTAATCCCAGCTACTTGGGATGCTGAGGCAGGAGAATCTCAAGTTCAAGGTCAGGCTGGACAACTCAGTGAAACTCTTTATCAATTAAAAATAAAAAGGTCTGGGAATACAGCTCAGCGGTAGAGCACTTGCCTAGCATACATGAGGCCCTGAGTTCAATCATCAGCACCACATAAAAAAAAGTACAACTGCTAGGAAGTACAGCAGTCTGGGTTCATTTAGTACACACAACTCAGTGTCCCTAAGGAATTCCTGAATTGTGACAGAAGACAAAATGGCTGGCACATTAACACGCAACTGTAATCCCAGCAACTTCGGAGGCTGAGGATCACAAGTTAAAAGTCAGCTTCATCAACTTAGCAAGACCCTGTCTCAAAATAAAAAATAAAAGGAGCTGGGGATGTAGCTCAGTGGTAGAGTGCCCCTGGGTTCAATTCCCAATATTGGGGTGGGGTGGGGTGGAGAGACAAATGATTATTTTATTATAAAAATGATATTCTACAAGCAGTAACAAACTGTATAATATAAAATATTAATATTTTCTACAAAAGTTAAAACAAAATATTAAAATGTTTAGGGGCTGGGGTGGTGGCTCAGTGGTAGAGTGCTCGCCTAGCATGCATGAGGCACTGGGTTTGATCCTTGGCACCACATAAAAACAAACTAATGTATCCACCTAAAACTAAAAATAAATAAATAAATAAATATTTTTAAAATGTATTCAAATGTTTAAAGATAATAAATCTTGTATTTCTCTAGAAAGTTTAGTTTATGTTGACAATGCTATACAGATATGATCTATTCCTCTCCATTTTTCTTTCTTTTTTTTTTTTTAATATCTATTTATCTTTTTTAGTTGTAGTTAGACACAATATCTTTATATGTGGTGCTGAGGATTGAACCCAGGGCCTCACATGTGCTAGGCAAGTGCTCTACCGCTGAGCCACATTCCCAGCCACATTTTATTTTATTTTTGTTTCTGTGGCAATGGGGATCAAACCAGGGATCTGTGCATGAGCTCTACCCTGAGCTACATCCCTAGTCCTACACACCCACTTTTTAAGTAAAGAAATAGGATTCATTTAGCTTGTCTCAAAACCCTTACTACACAACTTGAAAAAAGAATGGAGGGACTAGATCCCCAATATTATTTCTTGCCTATGTTGTAAGCCTTACCAAATATCATAAAATGGTGCCATTGTCAGATTTGTGACATGGTCTCATTAACCTATGTCTTATCACCTATATGGAATCCCCCTATCACAGCAGCGATTCTTCAACTATCACAGAGCAGTGGTTCTTCAACTTCACCCAGTTTTGATTTAGAACATCCTGAATGGAACTCTAAGGCTATTTTGAGGCCGGAGTTCATAGAACAGAATCAGAGGAACACAGTCATATAACCTCCCTTAATCTTGTCATGTGTGTACTCAATTTTTATTTTTCAGTCCCTTCATTTATGCACTAGTGAATACATGGGATTTCCAGTAGTTGATCTACATCTAATTTTCTGAGGTACATATTATATCAAGGTTTTCACTGCTAAAGTATAATTCTTTATCTCCCCACCTTCCTAAAGTACACAAACATTTATTTATATGGCTTAGCTTTTTCTACTACTTTCTCATATTGACCAATCAACTGACTAAAAGATTATTTCATCTATTTGTTAAAACCATAGTTTTGATTTTTTTTTAATACTACCCTAAAGGTTCTAGATTTGAAATAAGCAAGGGTATATCTGAGATAATTTTAAAGATTATACGTTACCTCATTGTAAGGTGAAAAAATAAACTGGAAGATGATCAATAGTCCAATTAGAGTGGGCTGGCAGTCATAAAAACCAAATGCAGCAAAAAGTTCCTTTCGACCAATTAATACAGCAAATAAGAAAAAACACAGGAAAGAATTCATCTAGAAAGGAAGACATAAAAATCAAGTTATTTCTAGGCTGATTTCACTGTGCCATAATACTACTACAAAAGTGATTGGTGTGGTTTTAAGAATGGTGTTAGTGTGATTACAGCAAAAGTTATTTAGACATTTTTATAGTTTCCCTTTTATTCTCAAAAGGAAAATAAAATTTTCCCCAAATGTTTAAAACTGCATAGTTTTCTTCAGGGGTAGGTTTGAGTTGAGCCTCTTATAATACTGTTGACTGAAGTAGTTAACAGTAATTGAAATACTTTCTCTCTCTACAAAGTTAAAGGGCTAGAATGGATTCTGGTGTTGAGACCACAATCAGACACAAGGCTCCTACCCGACCTTAATGTGGAGGCTCCAAAGCAAGAGGTTTCCCTGGAGTTCTCTATAGGACTATAGGAACTGTACTGAGGAGTTGGAGGTCAGAGGGAAAAAAAAGAAAAGAAAATCAAATACCTGTACCAAAATACAACCTTTTGTAGTAAAGTTAGAAAATAAATACCATTCTTTTCTCTTAGCAGATCAGTGATCTGGAAGCCACACATACCCTATTTAAGTGTGCTGCTCCAAAGCATTTACCAGATGACTCAAGAAGCTGCCACTTAGAGTGGGGCTGACAACGGGAGGAAGTGCGCCAGTCAGCCCAGGATGAAGTGTAAGCAGATTTGCCACTTACCCTTTACAACTCTATGGATCCATGACAAGCGCCAACAGAAAACTCCTAGAGAAGATGCCCACACTTAACAGTCTATGTCCTTTGAAAAATTATTTCTAGGTTGCTGTTGGCCCTATAGAGACAGAATTCCTGGCCATGGGACACTTGTGGAGCTGCTTAGCTGAGAACTGATTTGCCCAGAGGTATCTATTATCAGCCAAGTGTTCTACACAGGCATGCAAATGAAGCAAGTCAGGAAGCAGAAGTTAAAGAGCAGGTGTTCATACTCTAGGATGCCAACTCCTACCACTTTGACATTCCTCAACCAATCCTTACTTATGAGTTCCCTTATATCATTTAATTTAGAAGGAAGAAAAAAACTGGAGCCTACTGTACAAATAACGATACAATATACTGGTACCAGCACAAAGTGGACTGCTGTGGCATCGCAGTGTCTCTCAGGGTGGGTGGTCTTGAAAAGAAGTAGCAAAGGGAAATTTCTCAGTGAGGGGAACTTTTAAGTAGTATATCTCACTGTCCAGGCAATCTAATTCAGGACCTGAACTGAGGAGATACACACACACACACACACACACACACACACACACTAATTGGTAGTGGGCAAATAATGGTTTGGCTGGATGATCAGGGATTTGGAACAAAATTAGAAAACAGTTAACAAAGAGATTTGGGGAAAAGGTATATTGAAAACTTCCAAAATTAGCCCAGACTATGAAATTTTGACTTTATATGAATGTTCAACAAAGAGTCCCAGAGGTAGGGAGGCTGTTGATGGTCAAGAGCAGAAACCTTCTCTATGGAAGTCAGCCCCAACTTCTTCAAGCCATTCTAGGACTTGATCAAGGAGCTCAAGAGAGAAAAGGAGTCAATACACTAGTCAACAACACAGATCTTCCCCCACTGGCTCCTGCCAGGTACCCTATCTGTTGGAAGATGAAATTGGCACCAGCACTGACAAGGTACCACACCTCAGGGACCAGCCTACCTCCTGTGGTAAACTGATTCCACTGGACACTCTCCTGATTCATGGAAGGGGTAGTGATTTTCCTTATTAGACCGAATACTTACTTTGAACTTAGGTTTGGATTTATTTAATTTCTTACTCATTGCCATGTATCCATTTAACATGGCTTCAAGCTACAAGAACTCATTTTATTACTTAAAAACAAACAGCAATAGGAATGTGTCCCCAGGGGCTCAAGTCTTTCCATATAATTCATCCTCCAGAACTGGGTAACCTTTCAGAAAGGTAGAGACCCACTTAAGACATTAAGGCTATAGATGCTCAAAACCAGGAAAGGAGGTTTAGTACTATTTTACCCAGGACTTGAGAACCTGTTTATTGGTTTAAAGGTATTAATATTCAGAGGAGAAACGCTGTTGAAATTGTTTTCTTCTTTTTACTTTTTCTATAATTTTCAATGAATACAAATTACTTTAACATGAGAAAAAGTTTTATAAAAAGCATTTTGGGGGCTGGAGTTGTAGCTCAGTGGTAGAGTGCTTGCCTAGCAGGTGTTAGGCACTGGATTCAATCCTCAGAATCACATAAAAATAAATAAAATAAAGGTATTTTTAAAAAAGCATCTTAATGTCCAACTTATCTAGATTTGCTTCTTCTCATTTTTACAGCTCTTAAATCTGAGCAATTCTGGAGGTGATAATGATGGTGACAACAATACGTATTTATAAATACTTACCATGTTTCAGGTACTATTCCATGCTCTTTATACATATATACATTTAATTCTTAACCAGTTCTATGAAGTATTATCATTCAATGAAGGCATGGAGGTAGAGAGAAGTTAAGGAAATTGCCTGAGGCCACACAGGTAGTTAAATCTAGGAGCTTTGATGGAAAGCCAGGGATCCTGGCTATGAAGTCTGTCTTACTCGTTCTACTATATGACTTCTTATGCCTTGACCTCTTGACTCTTATACTATAAAAAAACATTGTCACTCCAAACTTACCTGGCTAATAATGATATTTTTGACTGTGTGTCCCAACTTCCAATGCCCCAATTCATGGCCTAGTACAGCAAGCACCTCCTCATTTTTACATCCTTGTTTCTTATTCTGAATCAAAAAATAAAAAGATAATAAATTATAAACAACCTTCAAAACGTTTGAACCTTTTAATCCAGTAATCTTTCTTCATAGAGTCTCACTTAAAGAAACAATCAGGGACACAGTGGCACACACCTGTTATCCCAGAGACTGGGAACACTGAGAGGAGAATCTCAAGTTCAAGGCCAGCCTCAGTAACTTAGTGAGGTCCTAAGAAACTTAGCAATAACCTGTCGCAAAAATAAAAAATAAAAAAAGGGCTGGGAATGTAGCTCAGTGGTAAAATGCTCCTGGATTAAATTCGCAGTGCAAACAAATAAAAAACCCAAACCAGGGGCTGGGGTTGTAGCTCAGCAGTAGAATGCTCACCTAGCATGTGCAAGGCTTTGGGTTCAATCTTCAGCACCACATAAAAATAAATAAATAAAATAAAGGTACCATCTCCAAAAAAAAAAAAAAAAACTAAACTAAACACAGTGGAAACAGGCAGGAGCCTGAGATGCAGTTCAGTAGTACAGCACTTGCCTAGCATTCACAAGGCCCTGGGTTATCCCCAGCACTGAAAGAAACAAACAATCAGACTTCTGTGCAAAACAGTTCATTTGCTTAACAAAATATTCCCTGAATCACTGCTCTAGTGAGACACTGGGTTAAGCACTGAAGATAGAATCCAAACAAAACAGATATTCTCTAATTTTACTTAATCTACAGTAATTTAGATTAGGGGAGAGAAAAACTGGAAAAATAAATCTTTATCAGTAAGACAATATTTAAGTAAGTCATAATAGTCATGACAGCTAATGATAATCCCATTTGAAATTGTTTTCAAAGTTTACATTCTGACATGAGAAATTGCTCAAGACAAATACAATTAAATAACAGACATATATATATAAATTAGAAATATTTTCAAAGATTATGTTCTGACGTGAAAATGGTGTATTGGTTGAAGAAATCAGGAAACAAAGTACAGCAAAATATTAGCAGTAGTTCTTTCTTATTTTTTTTTTTTTTTTTTTTGGTACTAGGGATTAAACTCAGGGGTACTCAACCACTGAGCCACATCCCTAGCCCTTTTTTTGAATTTTATTTAGAGACAGGGTCGCACTGAGTTGCTTAGCACCCCACTTTTTGCTGAGGCTGGCTTTGAACTCATTCATGGTCCTCCTGCTTCACCCTCCTGAGCTGCTGGGATTACAGGTCAACCACTGTGCCCAGCAGGTGATTTTTTTTTTTTTTTAATTTAAAAAATTTTTAGTTTTAAAAAGATATAAAACCAGGTGGTGGTGTGTGTGGTGGGGTTGAAACGGAAAACAGCAACAATATTTAGAAGGCAGGAAAACAGATGGACAAATGATAACTGACTAAGGGGACCAAAGAAAGCTGACTCATAAGCCAGCAGTGGAAAAAATGGAGAACCAATTCTGATTTACACTGCTGAATCTTCAAAAGTCTTGGGGAAAAACAGCACCAGGTACCTCTGGAACTGGGGGGAAGAGGAGCTGGCAAGAAGTCTTGGTAAGAGACTTTTGAGAAATGAGTAAAGCTCCAGATTCCCTCTCCAACTCCGTATCAATAGGCAAGTGCTTCTCCTTCATCAGGGTAGAAGCCTAAAAGTTTAATCTTTCTAGAAAGGGCAAAAGAAGAGACCCTTTCAATTGCAGTTCAAAATAGCTGAGGGTCAGGTACACTAGCAACATGCCATGTGTCTGTTCATCTACTATTATGCAGGCAGAACACTGAGGACTCCTTCTCTCACCCCAGTCCTCTCTGCACACTCAGCTCCCAGCACAGATCCTCCAGACAAAAGACTGAAGAATATCTACTGTGAATTCTAATCATCCCACAGAACAGAACTAACAATTTGAACACCAGTATTTGCCCACCAAATTTCACTCAGGACACCTTATAGAGAAGCTCAAAAATGATAAGCATCACCTACAGGGACAGAAATTACAATCTGGTTTTTAGTCTAATTTTCTAACTAAGAAGCATATAACCAAAATCAAGCAGATAAATGAGGTAGGCTGTTAAGAGGGAAGATCAAATCCAGGGGGAAAAAAAAAAGGAATAAACAGAATTTATGTAAAGAGAAAGTTTAAAAAGATAAGATACTGCTCCCAGGGGAAAAAACAGAGAATGCTAAAACAATGGGAAATTCTTACAAATCAAAGCTTAAAAGAAAGATTGGAAGATAAGAAATCACCCAAAAAGTACAACAAAGAGATTAAGAAATAGAAAACAAGAAAGAAAAGACAGGAAAATTCACTCAAATAACAGGAGCTCTGAAAAGAGAGAACAGAAAAAAGGAGGAAAAGAAATCAACAAAATAATTCCAGGAAATTGCTAGAACCAAAGATCTTGATTTCCAGGTTAAAGAGGGGCAATGCATATACCCAACATGATGGATTAAAATCAACAAAAAGTGCTCACTTTGGCAGCACATATACTAAAATTGGAACAATACCAAGAAGATTAGCATGGCCCCTGCGCAAGGATGACACGCAAATTCATGAAGCGTTCCATATTTAAAATAAAAAATAAATAAATAAAACAAAATCAACAGAAAGGGTCCAACAATAGAGGAAGAAGATGCAAGTGACATACTCAGGATCAGTAATAGAGTGGCTTTAGATAATGAATCAGCAATGCTGGAATCAAGCAGGCAATGGAACAATGCCTTCACAATCCTGAAGGAAAAGTATTTCCAATGTAGAAATGTATAATCCAGTTAAAGCAGCAAGCAAGTATGACAAAAAAATGAAGCCATTCGAGGCACAAATCCAAAAACTTTACGTACTATGCAACCTGTCTACCAAAATGAGGGAGTCAAGTACACAAAGCCAGGCATTAGAGAACACAGGAGATCAGCACAGAAAAGAAGTGAAAGAAAGAACAATACCAGAATGATGACTAGATAGCAGACACAGAGGGTACTCCAACCTGATTTGAACCAGGTGACTCAAAAGACAGTCTGTGAGGACTTCCATCATCAGCTTTTTCATGAAATCAAACTGGTATAGGATGTAGGCACCAAGAGAAGAAAATAAATCAACACGGGTTCCAACCTAGAAACAAGGATGACCAAGGGAGTCTAACACAGAGATGTACAACAGGACTTCAGAGAAGAAATGGCACAGAGATCTCTCTTAGGGTGTTTTGAGGGATGAGGGTAACTAAAAGTAAAACTGGATGCAACTAACCTTGGAGAAAATTATTCTGAGAAACACTGGAAGCTATGAGAACAATTAAACAAAAGATACAAAAAATTTAAGCACATATAAAAGTTAATTATTAACCAGGATGGAAAAAAGGTTAGGTATGCTCAGTAGTGAATAATAATTGCATAGGTACAATAATGTAAATACTGAATATTGATAAAAACTAGAATTGTAATAATTATATTGGAAGAATTGGGGGAAGGCAAAATAGATGTTAGGACAAGAGAGATAAATCCTCATTTATCATAATAGAAAGTCAATAGTGACAACAGTCAATAACATACATATATCACTCAGACATAGAAATGGGTAAATGAAGCCTGGTACAGTGGGGTGCACACCAGCAATTATAGCTATTTGGAAGGCTGAGGCAGGAGGATCACAAGATTGAGGCCAGACTGAGCAATTTAGCAAGACCGTGCCTCAAAATGAAAAGGGCTGGGGATGTAGCTCAGTGGTATGGTAGGTTACAAAAGAAAAAAAGAAAGAAAAGGAAAAAAAGAAATGTGCAAATAAATGTCTAAAGCAGCAACTAAAACTGAAACCTATGAGAGAGGGGACTTGGCGGTGGAGGCACACAGGAAAGGAAGGAACATAAAACTGCTAAATTTCATAAGCTTTTTTTGTGTTTTGAAATTTTAAGCAATAACCTTGCATTATTTTAATAAGGTAAAACTAATATTAAAATTTATGAAAAAAATTTATTGAAGCTCTGCTTCTCTTAATTTCATGTAACTTCGCAAATCAATATTATATAAAAAGACAATCACGTCTGTATGTATGTGCATACACACACATACATTTATCTTTTTTTAGCACATATATAAGATTTTTAAAAATAAAAACAAAAGTTACTAACATTTATTAAACAGTAACCATATACCAGGCCTGTGTACTGCATACTTATCTTATATATCACAACCACTATACAAGATACGTACTCTTGTTATTCCCACTTATATCCCACAGATGAAAAAAAAAAAAAATCTAGCCAGAGAAAATAACTATTTTGATTATAACTGTATAGCCAAAAAGTGGAAAATTTGGGATTTGAAGCCAAGTAGTCTGATGCCAGAGGCTTGTATTTTCGACTTTTTTGGGAGATTGAACTTAGAGGCACTTGACCACTGAGTCACATTCCCAGCCCTATTTTGTTTTTTATTTAGAGACAGTGTCTCACTGAATTGCTTTTTGCTGAGGCTGACTTTAAACTTGTGATCCTTCTGCCTCAACTTCCTGAGTTGCTGGGATTATAGGCATGTACCACCTTGCCTGGCTATGTTTTCAACTTTTACACAAAATATGAAGTCAAAAGTAAATTATTCATCGTGCATCAGTCAGAAAAAATAAACAATTTTAGTGGCACATATGTAAATGTTTGGAAATTATTACTGAACTAAAAAACAAATGATAGAGCATATAAATGATGAAGTATAATGTTTATAAAACCTAATAATGACTTTGAAGGCTGAGGCAGGAGGATTGCAAGTTCAAGGCCACTTAAGGAGGCCCTAAGCAACCTAGTGAGCATATATCTCAAAAAAATAACAAGGGCTGGGGATGTGGCTCAATGGTTAAGCTCAGTGGTTAACTCAGCACCTCTGGATTCAATTTCCAGTACTCTCCCCAGAACAAACAAACAAACAAAAAAGGTCTGGGGATGTATAGCTCAGTGTTAAAGTGTCCTTAGGTTCAATCACCAGGTAACATGGTCCTTAGGTTTCTGTTCATACCAGTCAACTGCTTTCCAGTGTGAATTTTGAGTTCTTTTAAAAAACAACCAATTATCTATTAGATAGTTTTCCATTAGGCAGTTGTCTCTTGGTCTGATATTAGATTTTAAAAGCTATTTAGAACAGTGTGGGAGTCACATTCAAAGCTATGCTGATATGGAATGAAATGAGCTTTAAACAAGGATCACTTTCCAAAGAAAAGAGACCTGATTTGTGGTAGATTCTCAGACAGAACTGGATTATCTTTTCTTCCTATACTAATTTACATAAAAGAACAGAAATAAGTATGACCCATTTTTTATTTTTCCATAGTACTTTCCTTTTTATAAAACTCATATGCTGCCTCATTTGAGGCAACACTAAGCTGGGTAAGAAGGCAAGTATTATCTTCGCTGTAGAAATGAAGAAAAGGAGGCTGAGAAATGAAAACATCTTACTGGATAAAGCCTACCTCTCTGGAGTATGTGTCCTTTTTATTACATTTATCAGCTGGGACTTCAACATAACCCTAGCACTTGCTTTCTTGAGACACATTGTTCCAATTATTCCATTTGTCTTGTGAAAGGTAAAATTCCAGAGAGTAAGTTTCATAGATATCTCTTAAAATGTAGGCATTTATCAAAATGTTAATAGAAATTATCTCTAAAAGGAAATATTTTAGATAGCATTAGTTTTCTTTAAAACTTCTGTTAAAAATAAAATGCTTGGGCTGGGGATGTAGTTCGGTGATGGAGTATTTGCCTAGCATGTGTGAAGTGCTGGCTTCCATTCCAAGAATCAATCAATCAATCAATCTCTCTCTCTCTCTCTCACACACACACACACACACACACACACACACCAAAAACAAAAACAAAAACAAAACCTTTATCTTCTCTAATCATTCAGGTTTAAAACTGTCATTGTATCCCTTTCCACATAGGAAGGGGATTGTCCATATTGTATCCCCTGTACACAGTAGGCCATAAGTAGCAGGTGCTGAATAAATCAGTTTCCTAAACTTTTGCCACATTTGTGTATTCTCCACCTATTTACTTAATCTCTCCTTAAACCAATTTCCTTTATAAAACTTAGCAGTAATATACATGAAATTATGATCTCGACATGCTAATTTCATCTCTTCCTTGTGTACATTAATAAATACATAACTATTCAAATTTATATTATTAGTAAACTTCCTAAAACCATCTCATCAGTGTTACTCACAATGGAAAGCAATATAGTTAATGATCGAGTCAATTTTTGACCCTTTTCACTCCCCTAATATCAATCACAAGTACTTTAAATCCATCCTTTATTATGATTCTTGCACTTTTTCTGACTTTGAATTCTAGCGTAGAACCTTATTATTTCATGCTTATCCTGATGCAGTAGGCCCTAAAAGTCTCCCTGCCTCTGAAAGAAAGAAATCTTTGCTTTCTCTTATGTGCTACCACCAAATTTTAATCTTCCTAAAACAAGCATTGGCTTCTACCCAAATCAATCTATACTTTCCAGGTCACAGGAAACAACCACTTGATGTATTGACCATTCTATAAACTAGTCTTGGTCTACCTTTCTATCTCCATCTACACAAATCCATTAATCATTAGTTTCAGAACAGCAGTTAGGTATTTTATCTCTACAGCTTTCTTTGCTCCTTACCTTGAAAAGCCCCATCCCCAAATTAAAATTCGGTCTCCTTCACATATCCTCTTTCTCAGAAACCTGTTTGACCACTGGAATTTGCATTCTTACCTGGCTATCTAAAAGTCACACTCTTTCAGCCATTCATGATATTTATCACACACTGCCTTATAGTCTATTTCTCTCCCCTGTTATAATTAGGGTGAGACTATATCTAATGTATATTGTCAAGTAACTTGAGGACAGATGTTAAAACATTTACAGTTAAATCAGTGAAATAAAGCAGCCTCTTCAAGAAGCCAGCAAAAGAAGTCAAATTCCATTCAACACACTTCAAACAACCCCACAGCAAATAAAACTGTGCCTCCAGACATTAAAGGTCTAATAGGCTGGGTATGGTGGTGCATGCCTGAAATCCCAGTGACTCAGGAGGCTGAGACAGGAGGATTTCAAGTTTGAGGCCAGCCTCTGCAACTTAGAAAAATCCCGTCTTAAAAGAGAAAGGAAAAAAAAAAAGGCCAGGGATGTAACTTGGTGGTAAAGTGCCCCTGGGTTCAATTCCCAGTACCACAAATAAATACATAAAATAAAGGTCTGTTTTTTCATTGCACTGCTTATGATCACTGAACACTAGCTAATGTCTAGGTTTAAGTATGATGTAATCATCCCCTGCATGTGGATGCCTCTTAAGCAACTGATATGCTGGACATGCATGATTCTTCTCTCTCTCTTTTTTATTTATAGTTGTAGATGAACAGAATACCTTTGTTTTATTTATTTTTATGTGGTGCTAAGGATCGAACCCAGTGTCTCACACATGCTAGGAAAGCACTCTGCCACTGAGCTATAGCCTCAGCCCTGAACCTGCATGATTCTTTAGTGTTGTTACTGAGTACCCTTTCTGGATTTCAATTTTCCTACTCATAAAATGACCTGAAGATCTCTTCTCTGCTTAAAATCATATGATACTAGGTCAGACCAAAGTGGCTTTTATTCTAATATCCTAAAAAACAAACATAATCAAAGGTATTAACCCTCTAACAATGCTATCTAATCCTTTCACAGAATTTTGTTTCATCTACATATTTATAACAGACTAGGCACTTAACTAAGTCTTGTCCTTTTTTTTTTTTTTTTTTTTTTTTTGCAGTATTAAGGATTGAACCCAAGAGTGTTCTACCTTTAAGCTACAAGCCAGCACTTAATTTTACTATTTTACTTTGATACAGGGTCTTGAGAAGTTGCCCAGGCAGGTTGAACCTGAGATCCTCCTGTCTCCCAAATCACTGGAATTACAGGTGTGCATCATTATACCTGGCTACTAGGTCACCGATTTAGGGTCAAAGCAGATGCTCAAATGATAATATTTTTTGGTAGTAAAAATGTATACCAATCTTACTTTTTTTTTTTCGGGGGGGGGGGTGTACTGGGGATTAAACTCAGGGGCACTCGACCACTGAGTCACATTCCCAGCCCTATTTTGTATTTATTTAGAGTCAAGGTCACACTGAACTGCGCATCGCTAATTCACTGAGTCTGGCTTTGAACTCATGATCCTCAGCCTCCTAAAATGCGCCACCACGCCATATGAGTACAGCTTTTTCACATAATTACAACCCTAAAAGTTAAGTATCTTTAGTTCAGTATGTCCCAACCACAGGATCTTGCATCCTGACTCCAACCCCAGGGATATTTGGTGATTATTCAGAGACGTTTTTATAACTTGGGGGGACATGAGGTCACTAGCCTATGGGGAGAGGCCATTGATGTTGTTGAATGTCCTACAATGCATATGATACCTTCCACAAAAAAAAAAAAAAAAAAATTATCTGTCACAAAATGTCAGTAGTGCCAAGGTTGAGAAAAATCCTGCTGATCTTTCGGTTAAGAAATCAGACTCAGAGGTATTAACTTACTTGCCCAGAGTTACACAGTTGGTAAGGAAATAGGGATCTAAAATCATCTCTGTAATGACACCAAAGCCAGGGGCACATTCAATTACACATCAAAATACTTGGGACTGCTTCTGATGAAATTTGTATTACTTCTTATCATTGTCCCTTTTCCTCCTTTAGTGTTGGTAAATTTTATGAGTCAGCAGCAGGGGACCTCATTGAGGAAAAAGATCCAGAAGCAACTTTCTCAGGTCAGATTTAAGAAATGTTTTTCTCTTTTGTTCCCTAGAATCCAAGCTCCCCAGTAGCAACACAACACTGTGGTGTGCTTATGTGACCATATCCCCTTTAGATTATAAGCTTTTGAAAGTCTGCCTCTTTGCTTTTGTACTCCTAATGAGAAGCAAAATAACTTTAGCACACAGTACACGTTTCATAAATACATGTTAAACAATGAAACTGGCTAAATTATGTAATGTAATCAAGGACACACATCTACTAAAAGCAGAAACAGGACTCAAATTGTCTCTGGGGTGCCAAAGCCTATAACCGCTGTCTCAATGAACCTAAAAATTAGATGTTTACCTTCTCTTTATCTTCCCTGTGGAAATTCTTTAATTGTAAATAGTAGAGTGTCAAAGAAAACTATTTGATGTTCTTGAAGAAGAAGCCATATACATATATTTATGATCTGTAAAAGCCTGCAAGGTAGTTAGCATATAATTATAGTAGTAATCTCTCCCAAATATCAGAACTATAAAAAAGCCATAGTATTTTTTTATTTGGTAGTCTCCTTGAATCCAACACTCACTGCATAGAAACTGGTGTCATTTTGAGTTGTCAAGGCACTGTGTATACAAACTAAGGCACAGTCTCTTAGGAAAATAAGAACTCACTTTAACTTTAGCTTTTATTTCTTCACTGTCCCCTTCTCCATCATTGCGGGGTTCCATGCCAGACTCCTCCTGGATGTCTTTGTTTAGTACAGAGTACTCTTCTAGTAGAGTGTCAAACAAAACTATTCGCTTGTTCTTGAAGAAGCCATAAAAATAAGCATTGCTGTGGGAAGAGCGTTTAGATCCTAAGGAAAAGACAGTTCAAAGCATGGAATATAATTAAAAAGTTTGGGGTCCATTGGAGAGATTCCTACAAAACTGAACTACTAAAAAGGACATATCATTTTCAAATTGTTTAACACCTGAAGAATTGTATCAATGAAAATCACCACCAGCAATGGACTGTTTCCCTGCATTCCTGACACAAATATTTATATTCATCACAGTTTTATAAGTAAAATAATTCTAAATATCCAATAGTTGTGGAATGATTAATGATGGTAAAGCTATGAAATGGTATTTTAAGCAGCCAGAAAAAAATTATACTTTCAAAGAATTTTAACAAGAAACACCTAACCAATGTATTATGAAGTATACAAAACTTCACATATATAAGATTCCAGTATTGTCAAGAAAAAAATATGTAAAGGAAAAGCATAAACAATAAAAAGCATTAAAAAAAGCTTATGAAGAAATGTACTGGGGCTGGGGATGTGGCTCAAGCGGTAGCGTGCTCGCCTGGCATGCGTGCGGCCCGGGTTCGATCCTCAGCACCACATACAAACAAAGATGTTGTGTCCGCCGAAAACTAAAAAATAAATATTAAAAAAAATTCTCTCTCTCTCTCTCTCTCTGTCTGTCTCTCACTCTCTCTTAAAAAAAAAAGAAAGAAAAAAGAAATGTACTAAAATACTGAAGTGTTTATCACTAGCTTCCAGAATTATGGATTTTTGTTTCCTCTTTTTTACTTTTCTCTTTTCTAAATCTTTTAAAATAGAACACTTGCTTCCATAATTATTTTTACAAATACTACAAGAAAGGGATGGGGGTATAGCTCAGCTGGTAGAAGGCCTGCCTTGCATGCACAAGGCCCTGGGTTCAATTCCCAGCACCACAAAAACAACAACAACAGCAAAGATTACAAGAAAACATACCTAAATTTTTTTTTTTTTTTTTGGTACCAGGAATTGAACTCAGGAGCACTCAACCACTGAGCCACATCCCCAGCCTTTTTTTGTATTTTATTTAGAGACAGGATCTCACTGAGCTACTTTTGCTGAGGCTGGCTTGGAACCTGCAATCCTCCTGCCTCAGCCTCCCAAACTGCTGAGATTATAGGCATGCACCACCATACCGGCCATACCTAAATTTTTAACAGTAACTAATAGCAACCAAACTATGGTCAATTTTTAGTTTCTTTTTTATGTATTCTTTAATTTGCAAATATTTTTCAATGTGCCATGAGTATAGTAGATAAGAGTTATAGACTTTTGGCTCAATCCTGGCTCTGTCATATAAATTTAGGAAACTTTCTTTAAGCTTTAGTTTCCTATTTATGAAGTGAGATTAATATCTACCTCATGAAATAGTCGTCGTCGTTTTTTTTTTTTTTTTTTTTTTTGTGGTACTGGGGATTGAATTCAGGGCTACTTTAGCACTGAATTCCCAGTCCTGGCCCTTTTAATTCTGCATTTTGAGGGAGGGTCTTGCTAAGTACCTGAAACTTCAAACTTGTGATTCTCCTGCCTCAAGTCTCCCAAGTCACTGGGATTATATTTGTGTACCACCAAGCCTGGCTATTTTTATTTGTATTTTTTTTTATTGAGGTGCTGGGGATGGAACCTGGGTTCTTGCACATGCTAGGTAAGCACTTTGCCACGGAGCTACATCACTAGCCACATCCCTTTTCCTAAATTTTATTTTGAGACAGGGTCTTGCCAAGTTGACCAAACTGGCCTCAAACTTGAGATCCTCCTGTCTCAACCTCCCAAATAAATGGAATTACAGGTGTGCACCATAGCCCTTACATGCCTTCCTTTAAAAGAAGATATGAGAGATCTCTTAAATAGAAAATGTGGATTTTGAAACTATTCAATATTTCTAATGTAAAGTACTTGACAGTATGTTTAGAATATAATAAAGCTTTGATAAATGGTAGTATTTATTTATTTACTTATTGCATTTTATGTCACTTTTTGGTTTGGTAGCCTGAATGTTAAGAGTCAAACATATAGTCCAATTTTGTCAATAATATAGGAAATCAGGCCCTGAAAAACTGTGTTACTATTCTGGTCTCATACTTCTAATGCAACAATCTCCTAACTGCTCTCTCCATTTCCACTCTTTCTCTTCCTACAATGTATTCTCCTTACAGCAGCCCAACATAGTTTGATTGTTTTTCCCATTGAACTTAAAATAAACTCTAAACTCTTTACCTTGACTACAAAGATTTATGTGGTCTGACTCTTGCCTAAGTCTCAGAGGTTACCTGATAATACTGTCCTATTTTGCTGTAGCCACACTGGACATTTTCATGGTGCCTAAAAAAGACAAGCTTGAGAAGGTCTTCCCATTGCTCAGTGTGAATGGTCCCTACCTTTAGGTCTCAGCTTAATAGGCACTTGCTCAGCAAGGTCTTCTCCAATCCAAAATATCTACAGTTATCCTTCATCACATGATACTAATTTAATTCTCTGCACAGCATTTGCTTCTCTTTTTTTTTTTTTTTTTGGTTACTGAGGCTTGAACCCAGGGGTATTAAATCCCAGCCCTTTTTATTTTGAGACAGGGTCTTGCTAAGTTGCTTAGTGTCTTGCTAAATTGCTGAGTCTGACCTCAAACTTGTGATTCTCCTGCTTCAGTCTACTGAATTGTGGGGATTACAGGAATGTGTCACCATGCATGGCTATCTGATATTTTTTTTAAGAGTAGGATTCTCAGTTTTTCACTATAATATCCCTACCAGACTAATAAGTCTTTAATGTGTCTTGTATTGTTAGTAACAATATTCATTCATTCAAAATATTTTGAGGAATGTTACTATTGTTAACAACAATAAAAAACATGCAGTTGATAAGGAAACTACTATTTGGCAAAAGTTAAGTTGTCCAAAGTCACACAGGAAATTCACAATATAGCTAGAATTCAAAACTAAGCCTACTGATTCCACAGCCTGACTTCAAAAATGCAACTGCTGCCCTACTCAAACCTTGATTTTCAATAAAGTCCCAGCTTATACCATAACCCTTCAGAAAGCCTTCCATATTTCATCTAAAATAGAAATACCATTGATGTGATATCTATATATGTACATATCACATTTTATTGATTACCTTTACTGTTATATTATTACCTATTATTTTATATTACCTGCTCACAACTTAAGGGATCAGCAACTTAGGGATCACTTCAATAAAAGCTCCTTAGAAATTGTTCTACTATAGTGATTAATGTGTTACTGGTTGAATATTACCTAAAAATGTGGTGATTCTGGAGGCTAAAGAAGTATAAATTGGTTTATTCTACTACTATTTCCTCACAGAATCTTAAAACTGTTCTAATGTGTCCTTAGTGAACTGTAAGTCTCAGAAGCCACTAAATGTCTGAGACTTTTATACTTTTCTAGTTGTTATTAAATTCATTCTTTTCAGTTGATCCATCTTTGTTCTCTCCTTCTGCAACTGCTTCTCAGTTTCTATGCCTTTACCTAACATAATTACTTCTCACTAGTGACATTTCTGTTTATAGCAAGCATCAGCAAACTATGGCTTACAGACCAAAACCAACCTGCGGTATTTTTACGAAGTTTTACTAGAATACAGCCATGTTTTTGTGCTTATGCGTTGTCTATGGCTGCTTTTACACTGTAATGACAGAGATGAATAGTTGCAACAGAGACCAGGTAACCTACAAAACCTTAAATATTTACTATCTAGCTTTTTCCAGAAAATATTTGCCAAACTGTAGTGAAAACACAACTAAAACCCAGAGGGGTGAGGCTCTAAGATCCCATAGCTGATAAGTTACAGAAGAAAAATCAGTTATATTCATTTAAATGGATTTTTTTTTTTTTTTTTTTTTGTACCAGGGATTGAACTCAGGGGCACTCGACCACTGAGCCACATCCCAAGCCCTATTTTGTATTTTATTTAGAGATAAGATCTCACTGAATTGCTTAGTGCCTTGCTGCTGCTGAGGTGGGCTTTGAACTTTCTTTCTTTCTTTTTTTTTTTTATCAGTTGTTCAAAACATTACAAAGCTCTTGACATATTATATTTCATACATTTGATTCAAGTGGGTTATGAACTCCCATTTTTACCCCGTATACAGATTGCAGAATCACATTGGTTACACATCCACGTTTTTACATACTGCCATACTAGTGTCTGTTGTGTTCTGTTGCCTTTCCTATCCTCTACTATCCCCCCTCCCCTCCCCTCCCCTCCCCTCCCATCTTCTCTCTCTACCCCATCTACTGTAATTCATTTCTCTCTCGTTTTTGTTCCCTTTCCCCTCACTTCCTCTTATATGTAATTTTGTATAACAATGAGGGTCTCCTTCCATTTCCATGCAATTTCCCTTCTCTCTCCCTTTCCCTCCCACCTCTCCCTCTGTTTAATGGTAATCTTCTTCTCATGCTCTTCCTCCCTGCTCTGTTCTGAGTTGCCCTCCTTATATCAAAGAAGATATTTGGCATTTGTTTTTTAGGGATTGGCTAGCTTCACTTAGCATAATCTGCTCTAATGTCATCCATTTCCCTGCAAAGGCCATGATTTTGTCATTTTTTTAGTGCTGAGTAATTCTCCATTGTGTATAAAGGGCTTTGAACTTTCGATCTTCCTGCCTCAGCCTCCAAGCTACAGCCATATCGCAACCACGCCCAGCTCATTTAAAAGGATTTTAATTTATAGATTATGAAAATCATGATATCACACAAAACAGTTTTTCTTTCCATCTTTATAGGCTTCCTTGAGACTTCAGTAGTCCTACACAAGCAAATGGCTTAACTCTCAAAGGCAATCATCAGAAAAGCAGAGTATAACTAATCTGAGTTACCCAAAAGTACTTATAGTTTTGGTAATCCACAGGTTAAACAGAGTCCTCCAGAATACTGGAGGAAACAAAACAAATGTTTTATTTTACAGCTTTACTATTGTTTACTACTGTTTTACAGTTTTACTATTGCTAAATGGAATTTGACTATAAAAGAGTCCAACTCAATTACTTAAAGGAGCTAAGTAGATAAGACAATAAATCAGTCTAATATACAACATACCAGAAAGTAAAAAAGGCCTCAAAGATTAGAAACAATACTATAAAGCTCACCAAACACAGCTGCAGTCAGGAGCAGGATTTGGCATCAAAACCCCAGTTTTTATCCCTGAACTATGTCATTAATTCTTAAAAATCTTTAAAAAAAAATCTTAAATAATAAATTAAAACAAACAAATAATAAAAGCTGGTTCATTCTTTCATTAAAATTTAGGAATAGAGTACTCAAAACAAAACACTTGAATAAACCCTTACCCTCAGGTAGCCTTACCTTCAACAACATACACCTTAGTCAAAGGAAAGTCAATATTCTTTGCCATTACTTCAATTTCTTGTTTAAGCTTTCCCTCAGGCAGAGGTGTGAATTTGTCAAATAAGGGGGCAATATAATCAGCATAGATTGTGACTAGAACCTGAAAATAGGTCAGAATAACCCATGAATATGTTCTTAAAGAAAAACTATTCATTATTATATTGATTCAATTATATTGAAACAATTACATCCACCCCAAACTTAAGAATGGAAACACTCTGGTATTCCCAGATTCAAATAGTCCCAAACAGTAACAGCTTAATATCTGTTTCATTGGAATTAAATCAAAGTAGTAGTCTTATAATATAGTATATCTGTCAATTTTATTTAAGAAGATAATGCTACTTACCATGACTAACATCTGGGTGGTGATAAATAGACCTGTCAAAATTATTTTAGTGATTGCTGGAACATCATAAGCCAATCATAACAAGTAATTCTCCCTTTCAGAGTAATCAAGATACACCTGAAGTCTGTGCTAAACAAACATCACAAGAGACTGTACATTGTTACCAGACCTGTTATTTGTTTGGTTTTTCTGCTAAAATCAATTACCCACAATTCATAAATGTCTACTGGGGTTAAAACAGTACCTGTTTAGGCACTTCCGGAGTATTTCCTCTGTTGTATTTCCTCTTAGTTCAGTTTGCCATACGTATCTATAAATCTGCTTTGCACCCATTTTCTGATACTGATCCCACCAGTGGGAAGTAAAGCAATGAACATTATGTAATTCAGATTAAAATAAACATCATCATCAGCGAAGTTGAAAAACTGATAGATGATATTTTCTGGGGGCTGTGAGCAAGCTATTTGATTGTGTCATATTTGTGCTGTGAAGCAATTTAGCATATGGGAAAGAAAGAAAAGATGATGAGGGGGTAAGAACTGAGAACAAGGGAAGGAGAAAGAAGAGAGGAAAGAAGAGGAGGTGGCAATGGGGGATTGAAGAGAAGAGAAACAGGAGAAGAGGAGAATGGATAAAACGAAGAAGGGAAAGAGAACAGGGAAGAAGGAGCAAAGAAGGGAGAGGAGAAGCAAAGAAGGAAAATGAGAAGAAGAGGGGCAAAAAAAAAAGTGAAGGCAGAAGAAAGCCATATTAAGTGTATGCTTTCTTTCTCTTGTCCCTCTTAAATCTCTCTTCAAAAGAGCCTTGCTTGGGGCTGGGGATGTGGCTCAAGTGGTAGCGCGCTCGCCTGGCAATGCGTGCGGCCCGGGTTCGATCCTCAGCACCACATACAAACAAAGATGTTGTGGCCGCCGAAAAGTAAAACAATAAATAAATATTTAAAAAAAAAAAGAGCCTTGCTTATTTTAAGGCCCTGGGGTTCAGTCAAAAGTCATTAAAGTATCACATTCAGTCATCCATTCTGGTGGCAACTCACGAATGCACAACCCAGAATTGCCTGGTAACTGGATCATTAAAAGTGATCAATAACTAGCTTTTAGGATCTGTAAGAGTCAGCGTAAAAAGAAGAAAATGTATAGTCCATCAACTCTTCCATTTATATACCCAAAAGCAAAAATCAAGGAAAATTGTTTTTGCAAGCATTCTTCCACTAAGCTCCACTCCCAGCCCTTCTTATTTTGAGACAGGTTCTCATTAAGTTGCCCAGGCTGGCCTCAAACTTGTGATCCTCCTGCTTCAACCTCCCAAGTAGTTGGGATTACGGGGATGTACTACTGTGCCTGCCCAGAGGGAAATTTATAGGAGCACCTATATATATTTCATCTTCTTCTTAAGAACTGTTAACATGCTAGTGAATATTATATCACAGTGATATCATGAAGGAACTTTTGTAAAAGAAAATTAAGTATTTTACTCACCAGAGAAACAACTAATGTGAAGAGCCAGGCATATATAAAAAAATAGTCACCTCCAATTTTAATAATGTAAAGCAGAAGTGAAGACACAGGCAATAAAATACACTGAGTCACAATAAATTTCTTGATTGCATCTTTCATAAAAAACTCCAAAGTCTAAAAAAAGAAAATACCACCACTAGAAACTGAGAAACTTTTTTGCTTTTTTAAATAGCCAGCAAGTGAATACAAAGGATACATTACTAGAACAATTTTTAAAATTAACATGCAGTGAGACTGTATTATATGACTCACACTAGGCAGCCTAAGATAATAAGTAAATCTTCTGCATTTTACAGCATAAGATAAATTCACTTAAATGTTACTAGTTGAAAAACACTAAACATTAGTGTTCAAATAATTTATAACAAGACTTTTTTTTCATAATTTTTTTTGCAGTTATAGATGAACAGAATGACTTTATTTTATTTGTATATGCTGCTCGAACCCAATGCTTCACACATGCTAGGCAAGTGCTCGGCCCCAGCCACATAACAAGACTTAAAACATTTTTTTGTAGTTGTCAATGGACCTTTACTTTATTTATTTATATGTGGTGCTGAGAATTGAACCCAGTGCCTCACAAGCACTCTACCACTAGACAAGCATTCTACCACTGAGCTAAAACTCCAGCCCCGATATACGAGACTTTATTTTAAATTATGATCTTTATCATACAATTAATTCATTCTCTAAAGTAGCAAATTATGTTAAAATTATTACCAGCACTAAACAAAAGCACAGAACATTTTCACGTTAAAAAAATCCTGTATTTTTTATTATACCTGATGGTTGAAACCATGTTTTTCTTCTATCACAAATGTATTATAAAGACTCCATGGCAAACCAGTCAATGCACTGAAAAGTGTAGCCAACAGCAGAAACACCAAGGATTGAGTGATCTAGGCACAGGAAAAAAATAATGGCAGTTTTTAATAATATAATATAAATTCGTCCTCCTCACCCCACCTGACTTGGTAGTGGGGACTGAATCCAGGGGCATTACCACTGAACTACATTCCCAGTCCTTTTTTACAATTATTATTTAGAGACAGGATCTCACTAAATTGCTAAGACTAGTTTTGAACTTGGATCCTTCTGCCTCAGCCTCCAGAGTAGCTGGGAATGCAGATAATGTAATTCATTCTTCAAATAAACTACTAGGGAGCAAATCAACAAATATTTGCTGAGTACTCATTCTATTCCAAGCAATGTGCTTGATCCTAAGGTTAATACACAAACTGAAATATCACCCTTATCCTCAGAAAAAGTTTAATTCAAGGGAAGGAGTAAAAGAACAAAACAATTACTCTTCTATTACATAGGCACTATACCAAAGTAATCTTAAATCATATAGATAAAGTGGTTAAAAAAATTCATAAAGAGACCGCAACACATGCTGATGAATTCAAGAAAGGCTTACAAAGCTAATGAGGCTTGAGATGCCTTTCTGGAGAGAAAGAAATTATTGGGACAGGAAAGAAGAGAGAAGAGGAGGAATTTCAAGCAATTTGCAAAAAGTATGGAGAGAGAAAGTAACACCCAGTGTGTGGAAGATGACAAGATGCCAGGTCTGGTTGGGATCAGGAAGGGAAACTTAAAATGGAGACTTAAAAAATCTGGACCAGGGTAAAAAGGGTAGGGTAAACCCAGTTTTTCACAAAAAAAAAAAAAAAAGACAAAATGCAAAAACTTACCCTCAATAATTACTTTTCTTTTTCTTTTTTTTTGTACCAGGGATTGAACCTAGGGGCACTTTACCACTGAGCTATATCCCTAGTCCTCTTTAGTTTTTATTTTGAGACTGTCACACATAGGTGCCCAGGCTGGCCTTGAACTTACGATTCTCCTGCCTCGGCCTCCTGAGTTGCTGGAATTATAGGCACTTCTGGCTGGTTAAATTTATTGTACATCTAAAGATTTTCATAATCTGAACTCAAATGCTTCTTTCCATTACTCCTCTTTATGAACGGTTTACTCCTAACATTCACAAAAGTTGATAAAGGAATCGTGACAGAAAGATACCCTGGGGAAATGTGCAGAGTATACAACCAGCAGCTTTTCTCAGAAGATTTCTTTTCTTTTTTTTAATAGTTTTTTAGTTGTCAATAGCCCTTTATTTTATATGTGGTGCTGAGAATCAAGCTTGGGACCTCATACATGCAGCAAAGCAAGTGCTCTACCACTGAGCCACAATCCCAGCCCTTCTCAGAAGATTTCTAAACCAACCCAGAAAGGAAAAAATATCCTAGGACAGGATACTCCCATGCAGTGGGGGAAAAGGGTTTTAACCCATTGCTTCTCAAAGGCAACAAGATCTGGCTCTATTCCTGTCAGTGAACACCTCAAAGCCATGGGACACAGAACATTTAAAAGTCCTATAACATGAAGGGGAATGACTCAGACCAACCCATCTTTAGTAATGGCAAAATGCAGCCCTTTTTTGAAGATAAACCAACTCATTTCACCTCAAATTCATGATACAGCAAAAGAGCTCCAAAGCATTCAAAGTCCATTATTTACTGAGAAGGGTCAGGTCATATCTCACTGTCCACAAATAAGGACACTGATTATGAGACCCTTGTTGGTAGTTTGGAAAAGCAGAAATTTTTGCCAAAACACATACTGCCTATACCTAGGATAAGCTGAGATCAACCTCCTTTTCTTCTTCTTTTTAATGTAGAAAATGATTTTAAGAAGTGCATGCTCATTGCCGAATTTTTTTGAACTAAACAAAAATTAAAATTGGGGCTAGGGATATAGCTCAGCTGGAAGAGTGCTTAACTTGCCTCACATGCACAAGGCCCTGGGTTCAATCCCCAGCACCAAAAAAAAAAAAATTAAAATTATCAAATTCTCCTCAAAGAAAACCACTTTTGACATTTTGGTATATACTATATAAAAAATATATTTCAGACTTTTTAGAGATGTAGAGTATGCTCACAAAGATGTATGTACAAGGATGCACACCACTATAGTTTAAAAAAATTGAAAAAAACCCCAAATTTATCTGAATATTCATCATAGGATACCAGTTGTATAAAAAAAAATCTACATGAGTATGGGTATATGAGTATGGTGATACACACCTGTAATTCCAGTGACCTGGAGGCTGAGGCAAAAAGGATTGCCAAGTTTGAGGTCAGCCTCAACAACCTAGTGAGACCTGTCTCAAAATGAAAAATAAAAAGAACTAGGGGTTGGGGCTAGGGTTATGGCTCAGTGGTACAGCACTTGCCTCCCATATGTGAGGCACTGGGTTAGATCCTCAGCACCACATAAAAATAAATAAACAAAGAAAAGGTATTGTGTCCATCTACAATTAAAAAAAAAAAAAAAAAAAACCAGAACTGGGAATGGGCTCAGTGATAAAGGGTCTCTGGGTTCAATCCCCAGTACCAAAAAAGAAAAAGAAAAAAATAAATAAGCATCTATATGGATATTCACATGCATGCTTTTATTATGTTGTTTCATATTCTGACTTTGCCATTCAGTAATAAATTATATGAAGTAATAGAGCCATCACATTTTACCCTTTTAGACTGGCAAAAATAAAAAGATCATGCATATACTAAATGTTAGCAAGGATCCATGAAAAGACTATTTTAATGCTTCATACACCATGGAAGACTATAAACCAAAAGAGCCTATAAACCAAAAAAGTTGTTTTAGAAGGGAATTTGGCAGCAGCTATCTAAATTCTAATTGCATATAACCTTTGATTAAGTTGCTTCCATAAATACTCATACATAATGCATAAAGATTTAGATAACAGATGTGCACTATAGCATTATATGTAATAAGGAAAATCTGAAACCAACCAATAGATGAGTAAATAAATACATGATACATGCACATAATGAACGTAGACAACTCTTGCTTCACATAATAGTCTAAAAGCATAAAAATGACTATGCAAACTCAATCTTTATATTTTAATGATCAATGTAAAAATTATGATTTTCCTATCATCTTTAAAAATTTTGGTTATCATACCAGCTTTTAAATGTATAGGAAAACATTTTAAAAATAAAATTTGTTAGTATCCTGTTATTTCAAATATTGGAAATACTGAGGTTTTTTAAAATTTTCTTTTTAAAAACTTAAGAGCAATTTGGTTGGGGGTGGGCGCATGCTTGTAATACCAACAGCTAGGTAGGCTGAGACAGGAGGACTGCAAGTTTAAAGCCAGCCTCAGCAAAGTCAAGGCACTAAGCAACTCAGTGAGACTCTGTCTTTAAATAAAATACAAAATAGGGCTGTGGATGTGGCTCAGTGGTTGAGTACCTCTAAGTTCAATCCCCAGTACCCAAAAAAAAAATAAATAAAATAAAGCAAACCATCACAAATAATTTATGAAACAAGGCAGAGAATGTGTAAGCAAATTTTCATACCACATGGCAAATCAAACTCCCAAACTTGGGCAGATAGAGAGATTGCACAGGAAAGAGAGGTCTTAAAGAGTCTGATTGCCTCAGAAAAGGTATTCAGAAAAGGGACACAGAATGAGCTGAATTAAAACCCAGTATACCTACACATACAGGAGATTCAGGATTTCAAATACACAATCAGGAAGGAAGTAACATCTGGCAATTTTCAAGTAGAAGTCAGGAAGCAGTGCTGTAGTATCTATTATAGATGGAGAGTCTCATGTTTAACACTTTACCCAATAACTAGATTTCTTAGAAAAGTGGATGGTCAACTCAAGCAGCTCAAACTTTCTGTCTTATCTGCTAAATGTTTAGGACCCAAACATGCTTAGTATAGGTTCAACAAATTCATGCTTCTTTTTTCATTGCACAGAGTTGTTCCTAAGAAGCACAAAGTGCATTTTCCAGCTCCCTTGCATCTGGGTAGACCAAATGACAGGTTCAGCAATGAAATGTGATGGCAAAGGCCAGGCATGATTTGGGAGTGAGGGAAAATAAGAAGATGGTAATCTCTCCACTATCTCTAGGACACTGGATGAAAAGTGACTGGACCCTAGTTTACCCATGGAATAAAGTCATCTACAAACTAAAAATACACCTGGCTTTTACATGAATGAGAAAAAAAAAACTATTGTGATAAGCCACTGAAATCTGGGGGTTTGTTACAGTCACCAGTATCATCCTAATACAGGGGCAGACAAGGATTGTGCAGCCAGAGAAGCAAGTCTAATGATGGTAGGAGCCAAAATGTTAACTTCAGTATAAGTTTGCAAGCATAAAAAAGGATTTTGACAAATATATGCTAATGAATCACATACCTCATATTCTGGTCCAAAGCCAGCATAACCACAGAATCGTCCAGAAAGTCTCCAGAGGTAAGGGATTCCTCCAAAGAGAAGAATAAGCTACAAAACAAAGCATACTTTGATTACATCTCAGCAGTACTCGAAACTATCATGTAACATAAGAGCATTTATAAAGAAAAAAGGATAAAATAATTACAGAAGAAAAAACACCTACTTCATTTAGAATAAAATATGTGTTTTTACAAACTGGTCTGGGATTGTGGCTCAATGGCAGAGTGCTTGCCTCACATGTGTGAGGCACTGGGTTCAATCCTCAGCACCACATAAAAATAAACAAATAAATATTTAGGAAAAAAAAAAAAAAAGAATACAAACCACTGGCTGGGTGTCATGGCACAGGCCTGTAATCCCAGCAGCTCACGAGGCTGAGGCAGGAGTATCCTGAGCTCAAAGCCAGCCTCAGTATCATTGAGGCACTAAGAATTCAGTGAGACCCTGTCTCTAAATAAAATACAAAAAAGGGCTGGGGATGTGGCTCAGTGGAGGAGTACCCCTGAGTTCAATCCCCAGTACCAAAAAAAAAGAATACAAACCACTGGGACATTAAGTTTAGACTATTAGCCTGTGTACTACACAGGGGTGAACTGTATGGTATGTACATTATACCTCAGTAAAGCTGTGTAAAAAACAAACCCAAGCTGGGCACGGCGGTACACGCCTATAATTCCAGTGGTTCCAGAGGATGAGACAGGAGGATCTCAAGTTCAAAGCCAATCTCAGCAATTTAGAGAGGCAGTAAGCAACTCTCAGTGAGACCCTGTCTCTAATAAAATATAAAATAGGGGGCTGGGGTTGTAGCTCAGCAGCCAAGCGCTCACCTAGCACGTGTGAGGCACTGGGTTTGATCCTCAGCACCACATAAAAATAAATAAGATAAAGGCATTGTGCTCAACTAAATAAACAAATAAACAAACAAATAAATAATACAAAATAAGGCTGGGGATGTGGCTCAGTGGTAGAGCGCTTGCCTAGCACATATGAGGTGCTGAGTTCAATTTTTAGCACTGCATATAAATAAATAAAATAAAGGTCCATTGACAACTAAAAATACATACATAAAAAAAGAAATATACAATATTATGTGTCAACCATAAATAAAATGTTTAAAGTAAATAAATAAAAACTTTTGTCAAGAGACCACAATAAAAGCTTTATGAATTAGGAACTAAATATAGGAAGGTTAAATAATTTGTCCAAAGTCCCACAACTAATGAGTGATGGAGATGGAATTTGAATCAGGCTACATGGTTCCATAACTGCCTTTTCCATGAAAGGAAAACAGTCCTTGTCATTCAGGACAAAGTTTTATTTGTATGTTTGTTTGTGACAGGGTCTCACTATGTCGCTCAGGCTGTTCTCAAACCTGTGGGTTCAAGTTCTCCTCTCATCTTAGCCTCTGAAGTAGTTGGAACTACGGTTCATGCCATTGTGACTTACTTAAGTGTCAGTACTGATACAGAAGTAGAAAGTCAAGTCAATTTACCAAATCATGGGATAGAATGGGATATCTTTGCCTTCTTCGGGTCAGCAAAAGGTGAATCCTGAGGTAGGGGTCAGGGATTCATAAGAGCAGGCCCTTTTATCAGTACCTCCCTTGTCTTGGGAGATTTAGTGAACACAGACATTCACCAAATCACCAGAACATCAGGAACCAGGAAACAGCTCAGAAGTTGAAAAGAATGCATGCTTAAGAAACTTGACTTTTGGAGATGGGGGTTCAGATCAGTGGTAGTGGTCTTGTCTGGCACCCATGAGGGGGTTCAATCCCCAGCAACACATACACAGACACCAAAAATAAAACAGTAACTCTACTTCTCAACAGATGCTAAATCTCTGGACCTCATTTTGTCAAAAGGCATCAATTTATTTTTTCTCTGGACAGGACTCCTGAAATGCAATGATTAATTACATGCCTTGCTTAAAAGCACAATATTTCGGGGCTGGGGTTGTGGCTCAGTGGTAGAGTGCTCGCCTAGCATACATGAGGCACTGGGTTCAATCCTCAGCACCACATAAATGTAAAATAAAGATATTGTATCCACCTAAAACTATTTAAAAAAAGCAGCACAATATTTCTATTAATTCAGACATGGTTTCTCGTGGTTTGAGGGTTATTTTGTTTTTTTGTGCTGTGGATTAAATCCGGGGTCTTGTACATCCTAAGCATGGGCTCTACCATAACTGAGCTATACCAAGGCCTGGTTTGAGAGATTTAGGCACTATCATATTTCATGGATATCTTTTCGATATGCTTTCCATTTTTATATATGTATTTACTTATTGTGGCACTGCGGATTGAAACCACTCTACCAGTGAACTATACCCAAAACCTTTTATTTTTTATTTTGAGACAAGGTCCCACTAAATTGCCCTGGTTGGCCTCGAACTTGTAATTACATTGCTGGGATTACAGGTATATGCCTTCATTCCCAGTTTGTATGTATGAATAATAAAGTGACTTATGTATTTTTAAGACTACATAAAATGATATCATACTATACTTTTCATCCCACAATTTGCTTTCTGTACTTTTCCATCTGCAGCATCTCTGTGTTCCTATTTTCTACAACCTTACCTATACTTTATATTATCTACTGTTTCGATTTTTACCAGTATGTTGGACTGGTTTAATATCACAGGTCTCAAGTCTGACTTTTAGTCATAAGTAGCAACAACAGCAGTATGTATTAGAAATGCAAATTCTTGGGCCCTAACCAGACTTTCGGAATCAGATACTAGAAGCGGGACCCAGCTACAGGTGAATCTGATGGAAACGAACATTTAAAAATAATTTAAATAAATTGCTGTTTTATAAGCTTCCCTACCTCTATATCCAGGCATCTTCACCTTACAATTATCTCAACCATGGCAGTTAAGTAAACACTGTTCCCAAAAGACATGATTTGGCACTACTATTTGGCATATGCTCCAGTTATTAAGGGAATTGACCTGGGTTGTCATTTCTTTTATCCTATTCCCAACACTAATAAATAATGTAGATTAAGGATTTATAATGCTTTTGGTGAAAGGCTAAAACACCTATTATTAAAAGTCCAGCTTTTAAATAAATATGAACTTTGAATGATTTATGAATGCAACTGGAAACTGCTGTTCCAAACTTTGTTTAATTTACTTTGGGGACCAGGAAATCAAGCATGGTGAACTATAACATTTCCCTATGTTAATAATCTCACTGAGCACACTCCTGGGAATGTCTTAGGACAAGAATTAATGTTCCTAACAAAAGCAATCCCAGTGCTTTTATACATACTACATTGATATAGTCTTGAAAAGCAGGCATGGTGGGAGTATAATAATCTATTTTATAGACAAGGCAACTGAAACTCTGGGTAAAATCATATATCTCTTCCTTCCTTCCTTCCATTTTATTTTGAGACAGGGTCTGGCTAAATTGCCCAGGCTGGCTTCCAACTTATAATCTTCCTCCTCTGTCTCCCAAGTCACCACTTCTCATTTTAAAGATGAGACAAATGAGGCTACAAAAGGCAAAGCTGCTCACACAGAAACACACAGAAATTAAAGAAGCAACAATTTGAGCTTTTCTACTCTTCTCTATTCCTCAGCCATTCCTTTTTTTTTTTTTAGTTATTGATGGAGATTTATTTGAGTGTGTATGTGTGTGTGTGTGTGTGTGTATATATATATATATATATATATATATATATATATTGGGGTGGGGGGAATCTATCTCAGGGCCTCACATTTGCTAGGCAAGTCCTCTACCACTAAGCCACAACCCCAGCCCCCACCCCCGCCATTCCATTTCCTGATGAGATCTCACTATGTTTCTCAGACTGGTCTCTCTGGGTTCAAGTGATCCTCTTGCCTCAGTATAGCTGGGACTGAAGGCCTACAACACAGCACCCAGGCATTCCATTTCTTGAACAGGGTTTTTATTGACATCTGTGTGACTCGGGGGGAAAGTCTGTTTTAGAGAGGCTAGACATTCATAATGCCACTGCTTAATTTCCTCAGGTAGAAAGTATTAAGATAAATGGTCTAAGTTAATCTCACCCTTTGTGACAAAAACATGCAGATCCATTAATTTTTATCAATGTAAAACAGGAATCAATTAACTTGATTTAAAATGAACAGTTTCAAAGTAACACCAAATTTGCTTCCTATCCAATGGTAAATGTAGCTACTAATTCCCCAGAGATAAATTTGGCACATTCAGGTTATCATCTTTAGAGTTTCAAGAATTGTTTCTTTCATATAATTATAAAGACTTAGATCAGCAGAGTTTAAAACCCAGTTGTCTCACTTAATTTAAGCCATTTAATTTCTCTGAGCCTTCACTTCCTTATAAAGGCAATAATAATGCCTATCCATTCTATTTCATTGTTGTAAACATCAAACAAAACAATGAACATAAAAACTGTATGAAGTGCAAATCATGATTATTGTGCCCAGCTTTAGCCCATCAGTACTGCTTCTAGTTAAGCCACAGCTTACTGCAAGCCTCTTACTTTATATACATATTCACCCGACTTCTATCATCTCCTAGAAAAAACTGAGTTAATCCCATGATCACCAACCATAATAACCAAGTGACTGCCCATCTTTGCTGGAATTATTTACTAGTGACAACCATGGAGATTGAAAATGCTTTCCATGCCAGTTTATCAATGGGGTAAGTTAAAGAACTTCAAAGAAGCAACTATCAGGGCTGGGTATATTGCTCAATAGTAGAAGCATGCTTAGCACACTCAAGGCCCTGGCCCAGCAGCGGAGAGGGGGTAGTTAAAAGAAAAAGAAAAATGAAGCAATCACCAGAGAGGAAGAAGGAAAGTGTCTAAATTCACTAGCTTTATTTCCATCTCTCTCTGAAGGCTGAATTCCTACTAAAGCCCTGAACAGAAAAAAAAATGTGCAGATAAGTTAATTAAAGTCAAATATAATCTGCAATAATGCTACCTCTCCTGGTTTAGTTGGAAGAAAACAAATTTTAATACTAATTTTCAATGTCTCAATACCTAAATTATCTTTGATTAATAAAAATATAATTAAAAAGTCAATATTGAAAAGACTGTGTGCCCAAAAAGCCAATGCAATTTTATTTTCCAAATCTTTTATTTCTTTTTTTTTTTTATAGATTCTTTTTTTTTAAAGAGAGAGAGAATTTTAATATTTGTTTTGTTTTCTTAGTTTTCAGCGGACACAACATCTTGTTTGTATGTGGTGCTGAGGATCGAACCAGGGCCGCACGCATGCCAGGCGAGCACGCTACTGCTTGAGCCACATCCCCAGCCCAAATCTTTTATTTATTTTTCTAAAATACCAAATTAGCTGGGTGTAGTGGCAGCCAGCCTCAGTTACTTAGCAAGACCATGTCTCAAAATAAAAATAAAAAAGACCGGAATAGGGGCTGGGGATATAGCTCAGTGCTTGCCTTGCATGCACAAAGCCTCTAGGTTCTAATCCCCAGCACCACACATACCGCCCCCCCCCCCAAAAAAAAAAAAAAAAAAAAAGAGAGAGAGAGAGATTCAGGTGTAGCTCAGTGATAGAGTGCCCTGGGTTAAATCCCTAGTATAAACAAACAAATAAATGAATAAAATACCAAGATTTTGCTGGTGCAGTGGCACATGCCTATAATCCCAGCAGCTCGGGAGGCTGAGGATTGCAAGTTCAAAGCCAGACTCAGCAAAAGCAAGGCACTAAGCAGCTCAATGAGATCCTGTCTCTAAATAAAATACAAAATAGGGCTGGGAGATGTGGCTCAAAGGCTGAGTGTCCCTGGGAGTTCAATCCCCAGTACCACCCGCCCCCCCAAAAAAACACACCAAGATTTGATTTATCTCTTCCAGTATGTCATTTTCCATTACCTTAAGGAAATGAAAGCAGTTCTAATAAACTGGATCTAATCACAATTTCATATTTGTCAAGGAAAAAATTTTTTTTTTAATATTTATTTTTTTTAGTTATTGGCGGACACAACATCTTTGTTTTGTATGTGGTGCTGAGGATTGAACCCGGGCCGCACGCATGCCAGGAGAGTGCGCTACCGCTTGAGCCATATCCCCAGCCCTGTCAAGGAAAATTTTATAACTAGCTAGACAATTCTGTCTTTTGTTTTTGCTGCTACACTGAGGACTGACCAAAAGGGAGTTCTACCACTGAGTTACAACTCAAACCTCTCCCTCCTTTTTTTCATTTTGAGACAGGATCTCACTAAATTGCCTGGGCTGACTTGGAATTTGTAATCCTCCTGCCCCATACTCCTGAGTAGCTGGGATTATAGGTGTGTACCACTGCCCCTGACAATTCGTCATCATTTTAACAAAGCTGTAATACAGTTTTGTTTCTTTAATTCATGTAACAATTATGGTAGCCAATCTCAATTATTTTCAAAGATATAGGAATCTTTCTCTTTGTAGAACTGGTAGACCTGAGAGAGTTCTGAAGGAACAATGGTGATGACAAACATACTATTAGCATACACTATGGAGCACTTAACAATGGATCAGACCCCAACTGTAAATGTTACATATATAAACTCAATTAATCCTCTCAACAATATTATGAGAAACTATTATTCCCATACCACTTTAATGAATGAGAAAACTGGGGCACCGAAATGGTTAGAATGTCTGAAGTCACAAAGCTAGTATGACAGAGCTGAGATTCAAACTAATCACCAAAGCTCAAAGTTACTCAGAATCTCTACACCATGAACTTTCTTCTTGACAGTAGAAAAGAAAATTTCACTTTCTTTTTTGGATTGAATCCAGGGATACTTAACCATAGAGCCACATCCTCAGCCCCCCTTTTAAATATATTTTATTTAGAGACAAGGTCTCACTGAGTTGCTTAGGGCCTTGCTAAGTCGCTGAGACTGGTTTAAATTAACCATCCTCCAGTCTCAGCCTCCCAAGCTACTGGGATTATATGCATGTGCCACCATGCCCAGCTAAAATCTTACTCTTTTTATGTATGAAGCACACATATATACACCCACAGTATAAAAACAGATCTGGGATATTAAAATTTCATGAAGGGGGTGATTAGCAAAAAAAACAAAATGTGTAATAGAAGAGAGGGGTAATGAAGGGGAGATCATGAAAAAGGATGGCAAACACTGCTCTATAACACATAGCCTCTCTTTTTTTAGCATGCAGATAAGACTGGTCCTGTGTTTTGCTAAAATTGCCTCATTTGTTATTTCAATGACTAAATATGAGTTTTGTGCTTATTATATATGTCAAGCACCAGGAATAAAATGATAAACAGACCTTAAAGTACCCCTTCTTTAAAAAGGATCTATCAATTAAACAAGTATATTTAATACAACGTGAAGTACTCTGACCAGTCTTGAGGGGCAAGGAGTTTTCAAATGATTTCTTAGAAGAGATGATGTCTCAGTCAGCTGGATTCTAAGGGAAGAACAAGGATTAACCAACCTCCACTGAGAAGGTGGTCATGAAACATGAGGAGAATGGCACCTTAGGCAGAGATACCAGCATGAAAACACATGCCAAGTCCTAGGAAGCCAACCTCGGTATAGGATCGTCAATAAAGAAGCGGAAAGAAGATTCAAGGGGAAGGAACAAAAAGATGAGCCTCAAGGATCTGTGGCCAGGGCTGGGGTTACCTAGCATGTGTGAGGCACTAGGTTCAATTCTCATCACCACATATAAATAAGCAAAATAAAGGTTCAGTGACAACTAAAAAACTATCAAAAAAAAAAAAAAGACTCTATGGCCAGATTGAAAAGGACCTCATAAACCAAGTCAGGAAGTTTGTACTTTATCCTAATGGAAACAGCAAACCACTGAAAGATTTTTTTTTTTTTTTTTTTGGTGGTGCGGGGGGATTGAACCCAGGGCCTTATGAATGCTAGCTATATCCCCAGCCCCCTGAAAGATTTTATATAGAATAACAAGATCAAAACTGTTTCAGAAAGATTCCTTTGGCAGGCTAGGGATATAGCTCAGTTGGTAGAGTGCTTGCCTTGCATGCACAAAGCCATGGGTTCAATCTCCAGCATAGCACAACAACAAAAAGATTAACACACATAGTAAGGTCCTTTGTCACAACTGACCTGCAGGTGAAAATCATCATATTTCAACTGACTATGCAGTTATGTATCTGCCGTTTTTTTTTTTTCTTTCTTTTTTTTTTTGTAGTACTAGGGATCGAAACCAGAGCGGCTCTACCACTGACCAATATCCCCAGCCCTTTTTCTTTTTTATTTTGGGACAGGGTTCTCCCTAAGTTGCCCAGACTGGCCTCAAACTTGTGATTCTCTGGCTCTGGCCCCAGCCTCACAAGTTACTGGTATTACAGGTGTGTGCCACCATGCCCGATATGTTTTGGATTCTTTTATTCCACACCCATTACTATCAATAACAAAATTATCCCACTCTTCAGTATTTATCCAGAAGAATTAATGTCAGCATATTATAGATATACATGCAAACCCATGTATTTAGCAGTGCAATTCAAAATAGCCAAGTTGGAACCATTGTAAGTGTCCATAAAGAAAATATGACATATATACACAATGGAGTTTTTTTTTAACATTTTTTTATTTGCAGTTGGACACAATGCCTCTATTTTTAATTTATTTACTTTTATGTGGTGCTGAGGATCGAACCCAGGGCCTTGCATGTGCTAGGCGAGCACTCTACCAATGAGCCACAACCCCAGCCCCTGGAGTTTATTTATTTTTTAGTTGTAGGTGAACATAGTACCTTTATTTTATTTTTATGTGGTGCTGAGAATTGAACCCAGAACCTCATGCATGCTAGGGGAGCGCTCTACCACTAAGCCACAACCCCAGCCCCACGATGGAGTTTTATTCAGCTATAAAGAACAAAATTATGTCATTTGCAAGAAAATGCCTGGAATCTAAGGACATCATGTTAAGTGACATAAGCCAGACTCAGAAAGTCAAAAGTCATATGTTTTCTCTCATATATGGGAGTTAGAAAAAAAGAGGGAAAAAAAAAAAAAAGGAGAATCTCAGAAAAAAGAGAGGCTAGTACAGTAAAGAAGGGGGCCAAGGAGCGAGAGGAGAGGAGAAAACAGAAGGTACTAGGCAAAAAAAATTTACCAAATTATGTTATGTGTGGTGTGTAAGAATGTTGTAATGAATCACACTATTTGTATAATTATAATAAAACACTCGAATTGTGCATTTTAAATGGTGAATTTATGAAATGTGAATTAGATCTCGATAGCTACTGAAATCATAAATATCAGATCATGCTTATAACATAAAAGTGTCCCAAGTGGGTAAAAAATAGCAACAATAAAGGTTAGGAAAGCACTGTGGGACTGGTAGGAATAGTACCCTCTTTTGTGTCATAAAAATACAAAAATGAGAACATTGCAAAGTATTAAATAATTTGAGAGACCATCTCTCCAAGACGTAAATTACTTACAGTGCCTTCAACTTCTGAATACAGTCCTGACCAGAAGCTGAAAGTACTTTTATCCAGTTGATACAGTCGAGATTTCTCAAATGTTTCAGCATCCATGATCTGTCCTAACTCCGGGGGTACACGAGTTGTTGTTTTATATATTCTTCTCTGAAATATTTTAAAGAAAACACTTTAACAAAACAGTCAATTGTTTATTACAATAGTAATTTATGATCTTACATTGAATAGTTTATAACATTAACTTGTCACTTAATCTGGACATCTGCAGAGTGTTTCATATATACGAAAATACTACATTTGGTCACGTACACTGATTACTGAAACAACTGATGCAGAAAAGTTACAGGCAGAACAAGAGAATATGAGGCTAGCTGACTAGGTAGAATAAAAATCAGGATTATCCTCACACTTCACTTTACATATGCAAACCAAAGTTTTAACATCACAAGGGTGCCCACTCTTTCTGGGTATGACTATGTCCTATAATACAGGAAAAAAGAAAAAAAAAACTGTGAAAAAGAGAAGCAAACATATAAACCACAAGCAATAATAGATATTGTTGCTAGTCATTAAATTTGGTCCAAATTAAGAGAGATTTAAGGAATCAAAGAAATTATCAGGTCTCTAAGATCAATTTTCTCAGTATGCCAAATTTTAAAAGGTAATTTTGGCTCATGAGACATACCACAGGAAGCAGATACCAAAAAATAGGACAGAAACATCTTCTACAATGGTTTTGCAACAAATGCTTTCTCTATGTATTGTATGTCAATAAAAGTTGAGGGCATTAAATAATGCATAATTCAGTAGAGGCACTACTGAAAAGTAGTTACTCTGACTACTTAGTAATAAGTAGTTATTAAGGCTTATTATTAAAGAAAGACAGATAGATGGTCAATAGCTTATTGAGAAAAAAAAATTAAAACTGTTTATAGATTCATGTAGAATGTAAATTGAGAAAAAAAATTTGAAAAGAGAAAGGACTGAAATGCTCAAGAGAGAACAGTTAGAAAGGTTTTTACAACCATCATCAGTGACAACACAGAAGATTCTAAATAAAGCAACCAACGGTGAAAGACTGCAATAAAATGTCAATTATTTAAACTCATTTAAACATTTAAACTCATTTAAAAGTTCTGATCTAGTCACACACAGTGGTACATGCCTGTAATCCCAGGAACTCAAGAAGCTAAGGCAGGAGGATCACAAATTCAAGGCCAGTCTGGGCAATGTAGCAAGACCCTCTCTCAAATAAAAAATAAAAAGGACTGGGGATGTAACTCAATGGTAAAGCATCCCTGGGATCAATCCCCAGTACTAAAAATTCACATCTCAGTCAGGTGAGGTGATCCATGCCTGTAATCCCAGCTACTCAGGAGGCTGAAGCAGGAAGATCCAAAGTTCCAGGCCAGCCTCAGCAACTTAGCAAGACCCTGTCTCAATTTTTTTTTTTTTTTAAAGTGCTGGGGATGTAACTCAATCTTAAGAGTTACAGGGTTCAATCCCCAGTACTGGGGGAAAAAGTTCAGATCTCTTAATTTTTCAAGCTATTTATTAGGATTATCTTTAGAGAGCTGTTATTAAGTAACTTTTGCCTTCTACTCCCCCCCTCCCCGCCCACCAGTGCTGGAGATTGAACACACGGACTGAGGCATTCTAGTCAAGTGCTCAACCGGTGAGCTACATCTTCAAACCCCATCCCCACCTCACATTTTTTATTTGTTACAGGGAAATGAACCCAGGGACGCTTTGCCCCTGAGCTTCATCCCCAGCTCTTTTTATTTTTTAAAGACGGTCCAGTTGCTGGGATTACCGCTCCCCCAACCCTCTAAAATTTTGAGACAGATTCATAATAAATAATTGCCCATGGTGGCCTCCAAGTTTTGCTCTTCCTGCCTCCACCTCCAGAGTAGCTGGGGCCAAAGGTGTGTGCCGCTAGGATACTATTTTAAAAATTTTTTAACGAAAATAATGTAAATATAATACTTTTTTGGCAAAAACATATGTACTTTAAGGAGATTAAAAAGAAAAAAAGGGGATGGGGTTGTGGCTCAGAGGTAGAGCACTCGCCTAGCACGAGCGATGCCCTGGGTTCGATCCTCAACACCACATAAAAATAAAATAAAGATATTGTGTCCATCTACAACTAAAAAATAAAATATTTATTAAAAAAAAAAAAAGGATGGGCAGGGGGTTGTGGCTTTGTGGTAGAGCGCTCAACTGGCACGCGTGAGGCACTGGGTTCCATCCTCAGCATCATATAAAAATAAATGTACTGTGTCCACCTACAACTAAAGAAAAAAATATGAAAAATTTATCAAAAAGAAAAAAGAGAGTGTCAGTCCTTGGAAGAATTGCAACATCTTTATTTTCAGAAAATGGTTTCCTAATCCTGTGGTTGAGCAGGATAACACGAATATCATGGGGAAGTGGTGATTCAAACATGTCAGCAGCTTCCTTTTGAAGGCTTACATCAAAGATAAAGGAGCCTGGGTCTGGACCCAAAGAACCAAAGAGGCTGTAGGGCAGGCATAAGCTCAAACTTGAGGGGGCTACCTTTTCCTTTCTTAAGGCCCTAGGGTCTCACGAAAAACTTCCCTGAGGTACCAAGAACCCCTAAAAGCCAAGTCCGCCATAGGGCCAAGTTAGAAGGCCGAGCAAGGGTTACGGAGTTGAAACTGGTGCTGGGACCCGAGCAAACATCTAGGACTTAGGGTCCATTCCGAGCCTGGCCTAGGGCTGGCGGGTGTTGAGTTCAGGTGGGCCCTGTCTAGGCTCACCTGCCGCTGTGCTAGGAAGGTCTCCCAAAGATACACTGTCCAGGAAAAGAGCAACACCGCCCCGAAGATACGCTTCTCGGCGGGCATCTCCCACATGGCGTCCAGCGACGCCGACATCCCCATGGCCACCCGGTTCCACCGGCTCCTTCAGCGTGCACCGGTGCCACACTGACACCCGTCCTCTCAAAGAGTCCCCGCGGTGCCACAGCGATATAGGTCCCTTCCGAGTGCCTCTACACAGACACCCGCCCCCATACCAGCCCCTCCGCGCTGCCGGCAGTGTCGCAAAAGCACTCCTCCTCTTGCCTCCACCCGCTGGGGACTTCTAGTTTCTCATAGGAAAGGACCAGCCCCACCTTCCTCATTTCCGGCCCAAAGCGGGGAGGGAGCCCAGACGCTGAGTTCCGGCCCTGGCTGAGCTTGCGTTGCACCAACATCCATCCCCCGCCCCTCGACATTGGGTTCCTGCCCAGGGTTCTGGCTTTCTTCCTGGGCTTTGTAGCGCGGCCGGGGGCGGGGCTTTCTAACCTCTCAAGTGGCAATTCCTTTAAGTTTTGGGGCCTTGGTTGCCCAGAATGGGCTGCGGCATATTCTGTGCTTTCCCGGGCTGGGACGAGCTGACAGAAATTCTGGGTTTAGCGGTCGCCGACCCAGTGGGCCGCCATCGGCGCCCAGAGGTGGCTGGGAAGAATGGGCGAGTTTAGTAGGCGTCCCAGGCTGTCAAAATCTTTGCTGTTGGCTCGTGCTGTCCAGCTGCGGTAGGTGCATCCCTGGGATACCGGAAGAACGAGGCGAGGCATTGCACATGGAGTGTTTTGGCCTGTATTGGCGTGTTCTGACTTCAAGTGTATTAGATGAGAATGACGGGCAATGAGAATTTCACTTGCAGACCTTATCTCATCCACCCTAAGTGTACCTGGAAGTGGCATTTTGCCCAAGTGTGCCCTGGGGTAAGGCAAGAATAGGGTAGGTTAGAAATACCTGAAATGAAAGTCCTGTCTTTATCTAGGGGACAAACTCTGATCAAGTCTTAGTGCCATTTCTGTCTTGGAATTCAGAAGTGAAATGTGTCACTAAGACACCTGTCAACACATTTATTTTACTTGAAAACCGAATTTTTCTGACCAAAAGTAAATCTAATTTGGTTAATTGGTTCTATAGACTGGTGTTGCTAAGTTGCCTAATTTTTTTAAACAATAAATTTAACTAAATCTATTTAAATTAGTGATACTGCGACTCTGGAGGCTGAGGCAGGAGCATCACAAGTTCAGGGCCAGACTCAGCAATTTAGGAAGGCTCTGTCTAGAATTAAAAAAAAAAAAAAGCAAATGGTTATAATAATAAGATAACAAATTATTTTGCAAGTCAGATGTTCTCCAGTTCTTTATTTACAGCAAAATTAATGGCTGACCTAATTGAATTGTCAGCTGATGAAAGATCACTTTTAATTTTGGAACTATAACTCAGAAAAAAGCCCCAAAATTGATTGACATTACTAAAACAAAACTACTAGCATTTTCATATTCTTATTTATTTGAATATTTCTTAGCCTTGTGTTTATTAAAACAAAAAAGGAATGGAATTGAAACTGACCCCTGTTGATTTAGCAGTAAGAAATACTCACCTAGGTGCATGAATTAATTGATAGGAAAGCCCCATCTATTTTAGGGCTTTATACATGTTATGCAAGCCCTCTACCAACTGAGCTTCATCCCCAGACATAAGAAATGCTTTCTCAATAGAATTATACCACTTATGTTTCTATATTATCAAAATTTGTAATTGTGTTGTTTTGACTAGCTATATACTAAGTTGCAATGATAATTCAGAATTCTTTCTTTTTTCTTTTTCTTTTATTATTTTTTTTTAAAGAGAGAGAGAGAGGTAGAGAGAGAGAGAATTTTAACATTTATTTATTTTTTTTTAGTTATCGGCGGGCACAACATCTTTGTTTGTATGTGGTGCTGAGGATCGAACCCGGGCCGCACGCAAACCAGGCGAGCATGCTACCGCTTGAGCCATATCCCCAGCCCCAGAATTCTTTCTAATACCTAGAACCATAAGTTATAGGGAATTGTTAAAACTTTTACTTTCAAACATATTTTTATTGTAAAGAAGTGATCAATAAAACGTTTTTCAAACATTAATTACATTTGGATAACTTGGGGGAAAAGAACCTAAATATAAGTTAGAGATGATAAAGGAGCAATGCTAAGACTGTCTTGCCTGCTAGAGAGGGGTCACATTCTCCTTTGAATGTTTATTACTTTTCTCACCCCAAAGGTTCTGACTCAAGATTAATTCTCCCCCGAATGTGTATTTCTTACTTTACCCCAAAGGATGTCTCTTACTCTTGGAATGGCCTGCATTCTCCCCTTGCTTTTCTAAATAAAATTCTGTGCCTACTGGGGTAGGGTGGGGAGAATGATGTTGAAAGCTCATTTATGTATTTTTTTAATGGATGAGGGTGTTTATTCAATTGTTATATACTTTCTGTTGGATGTATTATAAAAAGTGATTTCACGGTTTTTAATTGTCAGTGTTTTTAATTTGCTAGAATTTACATTGCAACTATTTAAACTTACATTGAAAACTTTTAGATGGAAGGATAAACACCTTCAAAATATTCTCTTCTAAGGTCATCATTATTATGCCCTCTTACTTTTCTTGTCCTTACTTATCCGTGAGTCCAAAGCCTCACTGAAACTTCTGTCACTCAAACTTTTGACAAACAGCACAAGTTTAGACTAAAGCTGCTTGAGTGCCAGTCATAACCATGATTAGTAAGTTATTTACCCTCTGTGCATCAGTTGCTCATCAGTACAGTGAGAGAGTACTTACCTCCTTCATTGTTAGGATCAAATAAGAAAATTCATGTAAAGCTCTAAGCAATGTACATGACCAAATAAGTACCCAGTAAAGGCTAGCTACTAGCTCTTCATGCTTGGGAAAATGGCATCAGTGATCTGTCCCTGTGTTTGAAGAGAGAGGAACCAGAAGATGGTGTGAAGTTTCAAAGCCAAAACTGACTGCAGTTCATTCATTCAAGAAAAATATCTGCAAAATACCAGACACTGCTAAGTGTGAGTGTGAACCAAACAAAGCCCATCCTTTCCTGGAACTTATATTCTTAGTGGGCTGGGGTGGATGGAGTGAGAGATGATAAGCAAATATATCACAGTAAAAGTGGAGGTGGTGATAAGTGCTATGAAGAAAAAGCAGAGAAAAGGGAATAGAGTGTATTGGTGTGAGGGGCACTAGTTTACATAAGATGGTCAAGGAAGGCCTTTAAGATTAGCCAACAGTTGATCTCAGACACCCCCCCCCCAAAAAAAGTGGGTAACTGGGGAAAATGTCAATCAGAGTGAACAGTGTAAAGACCCTGAGGTTGGACAATGCTTAACCCACCTGGGGACTGGTAAGAAGGTAAGAAAGAGTAAGGAGAAAGGGAAATGCAGATCCTGATGTTACCGCTGAAAGAGTCCTTGCTTCTGCAATGCTGAAGTATAACACCAGAGAAGCACGCCAAGGCAAGTTTGGAGTGGAAAGTAGAAGCTTTATTAAAGGACAGCAGAAAAGTCTTCTCCCCGGATGAAGAAAAGGACCCAAGAGGTGGAATCCCTGGAAGGGTGAGGTCGTCCCTCTTTTATAGCTAAGGTCTTCTTTCAGCTTTCCCGCATTTCTGTCAGGTTTCTGTCCTTTGTTGTTATCCTGCAGTGATAGAATGTAGGTGGGGAGACCCAAAAGGTGAGGGGCAGATGGGCCTGAGGAGTAATCTTGGGCAGGAAGGGCCTGGAGGCGCTTTTGATTAGCATCTCCCTGTTTGCTGGAGCTGTTTCATTAACATTTCTTTAGAATGTGCTCTGGACCTTGAGAACATTAATATTTCAATTTTCCAAGTGCTGCTCTGCTTTCCCAGGCTCCATTCTCAACATGGCCTTCATTTTCGATTTTACTCGATATTAGACCCGATTTACCTAACTACACTACCTATCTTTAAATCTGGCTTCGGGGCTGGGGATGTGGCTCAAGTGGTAGCTCGCTCACCTGGCATGCGTGCGGCCCGGGTTCGATCCTCAGCACCACATACAAACAAAGCTGTTGTGTCCGCCGAAAACTAAAAAATAAATATTAAAAAAAATTATAAAAAAAAAAAAAAGACAATGCTTAGAACTGCCCAGTAAACATTTCCCCTGATTGTCTGGTTGTTTAATAACTGAAGGGGTCTGTGTGGTTGCACGCAGGCCTTGCAGGGCCTGAACCAATCAGTTTGAATGTAACCCCCTCCTTAGGAATGACCTATCACTCCAGCCTGACCTGTTCCCGCCAATGAATGAACTAATCATGTTTAGGAGTTGTTGTTCAATTTTCCCGCGCCTAATGATGATTTGTTCTGATGTATACAAAGCCCTCCGCCCTCCCCAAAAAGTGTACTTAAGCAGTGCTCAGCCCCTGCTCGGCACTCTGGCTGCTTTCCCTTCTTGAGTGGGCACGGAGCCCCAGCATGCCGGTTCAATAAATCCCCCTTCTGCCAATTGCATGAGTGGTCACTTGGTGGTCTCTTTATCCGACGTTTCGTGGGACCCTTACAATCCCATCAGTTTCTGTCACACTGTGGCATTCTAACAGGAGCAGCCAGTCTGTTTTATCTTTTTATCTAGCTCATTCTACTTTTTTCTCTCACATAGACTTCTAAATCTACATTACTCTCTTGTTAAAACACTTATAATGATAATTTATGACAGTCCAAAACCCAAAATGGGGGCTGGGGATGTGGCTCAAGCGGTAGCGCACTCGCCTGTCATGCATGCGGCCCGGGTTCGATCCTCAGCACCACATACAAACAAAGATGTTGTGTCCACCAAAAACTAAAAAATAAATATTAAAATTCTCTTTCTCTCTCTCTCTCTCTCTTAAAAAAAAAAAAAAAAAAACAACAACAACAACAACAAAAACCCAAACTGTACTTTCATCATAGGGTCTTTCCAGAGGAAGAGGAGAAAACTAAAATGTAAATAAAATATTTATTTATTTATTTTTTAAAGAGAGAGACAGAATTTGAATATTTATTTTTTAGTTTTTGGCAGACACAACATCTTTGTTTGCATGTGGTGCTGAGGATCGAACCCAGGCCACACCGCACGCAGGCCAGGCAAGCGCGCTACCACTTGAGCCACATCCCCAGCCCCGAATATTAAAAAAAAAAAAAAAAATTTTAGTTGTAGATGGACACAATGGAATTGGCTGTCTATGGACTGATACCTTTGAAACCATGAGACCCCAAATAAACTAACTTTTCCTCCTCTAATTTTTTTTTGGGGGGTATAGGGGATTGAATCCAGGAGCACTCAAACATTGAGCCACATCCCCAGCCCTATTCTGTATTTTATTTAAAGATAGGGTTCTCACTGAGTTGCTTAGCCCCTCACTTTTGCTGAGACTGGCTTTGAACTTTGATTCTCCTGCCTCAGCCTCCTGAGCCGCTGGGATTACAGGTGTGTACCACTGTGCCCAGCCTAAAATTATTCTTGTCAGGTCTTTTAGTTAGAACAGAAAAAAAAAAAAAAAAAAAAAAAAAACTGACTAAAACACTCACATTTGAGTAATTAATGCAGGAATGCCCTGGGCTGCATATTTTTCTTATGCAAAGGACCAGCACAGGCCAGCCTATATCTATGGCACAGTCCACAGCACAGCACTTTCCTTTCAATACCTCTGGTCACACCTCTTCAGCATGGATCCTAAGGCAGTAGCTCTGACCACCCTCCCTTCTTTTCTCATCCACTTCCATTCCTTTCCTACTTAGCTGCTTATGGTCTTCAGTCTGACAAGTGAGCACTACAATCCCAGATTCCACCTATCCCCACTGGAAACTGACCCTAGAGTCTTGTGCATGGTAGGCAAGCATTCTACCTTGAAGCCTCATCCCTAGAGACATTTTTAACTATCTCTATATTCCATCTTCCCCCACTACACACACAAGTAGAAGATGGGCCCTACTGAAGAGAGCCAATCCTTGCAGGATAATTTCAATATAGTTCTCTATCTTTATTAATAACACCACTGCACACATGAGGGAAACAGTGTTTTTCTGGAAAAAAACTGGAGTTCATCACATTTCAGATGTGGAGGTAAACCCTGATGTGGGCAAGGGACTCTGGCAGTCGGAGCAGCTGCAGTAGGGCTCAGAGGAGCAATCCCTCTTCGTGGCAGGTTTTTGGGTAAGGATCATCCCTTCCAGGTCCTTCACTTTGTTTTCCACCATCTGAAGTTTTTTCAGAATTTTTTCTTGCAGACCCAAGGACAGGAAGAAATTACTACTGTTTTGATTCTGACCATTCCCTTCTGGGTTGGCTAGCAAAGCCTGAAAAAAATCTGAGCCCTTCTTGTAAAGTTGGTAGAGTGTGATTATAAACAGCAATATTTTCTAAAACAAAACAACAGAATTTGAGTGTTATTTGTTCATTCATGTCAAATGCCAGTTTACTATAAATACAAAAGGTCTAATAGTAACAGTTATACCTCATTCCTATGCCAGAACTTTCATTTAACAAAACATTTTCACATCTATTTAATCTTTTGAATATTACTACAAACTGAAGCGGTAGGCAGTTTTTCAGACCACTATATTTTGGAAGTATTTTTGCATTTATTTAATGAAGATTAATAAACCAGGTACAGTGGTACACACCTATAATCCCAACTACTTGGGAGGCCTAGGCAGGAGGGTTACAAGTTCAAGGCCAGCCTCAGCAACTTAGTGAGGGCCTAAGCAATTTAGAGAGAACCTGTCTCAAAATAAAAAATAAAGGACTGAGAATGTGGCTCAGTGGGTAAGCACCCAGGATTTAATCTCTAGTACCAAAGTAAATAAAAAGGGCTAGGGATGTAGTTCAGTAGGTAGCTTGAGTAGCACATGTGAGGCCCTGGGTTCAATCCCCAGTATCAAAAAAATATTATATGTAGTAAGCAATATTATTAACTTGCTGAAATTTGCCACATGCCAGACTCTGTGCTAGAAGTCACTTTGCCTATGCATGACCTATATTTATGCAGAAAAAAACCCTGGATAACTATTTAGATATCTTCAAATTTAGACCCTTTCATTGTTCAATGTCCATATTGGAAACAGTAGAAAACCAGGACTAAATTAATCCAGGAATTTTCACTTCCAAGTATAGTGGTCTGAAAAGCTAGATTTCCTGGTCATAAGTTTGTTTTAATATGCTAAGACAGATTCCTGCTGGGATGGGAATAAAATCAATCACTTTTTTTTTTGTTGTTGTTAAAATAACTAGCCCTGCTTATTGAATATTGCATATGCTAAGCTTTAATCTGCACAACAATCCTATGAGGGAAGTACTGCTAGTTAAGGAAAAAGGTGCTTAGAGGTTAAGTGATTACTCTCAGGTTACAGAACAAATGATTCAATAGAAACTGAGGCCTAAGCAGTCTGAGTCCAGAGCCACAACATTAACTACTCTGTAATACCATTACTACCCCACTGCTTAAAAAAAAAAAAATGGCTGAGGTGTCTGAAGACCTGCAAGATCCTCTTTCAGACTGAGCTAAACCCAGAATTAGAGTTTGTTTCCTTTTGCTCCTTCCCTCCCTTCCTTCCAGTTGAACCCAGGGGTGCTTTATCACATCCCCACCCCCTTTTATTTTTTTGAGGCAGTGTCTCTCTATTAAGTTTTTGAGGCTAGCCTTGAACTTGCAAATTTACAATCCTCCTGCCTCAGCCTCTGGAGCTGTGGGATTATCAGTACACACCACTGTGCCCAGTAAGTTTGTTTTCTTATTTGGTTCTTCTATTAACTAACTGAATATGTGTGTACACACATACTCTCTTCTGTTGAAAGTCAGTTGGATTGCATTCAATGACATTTTGGAGAACTTAATTTGGAATCCTAAAAATTGGGTTCAAATCTCAGTTTTGTCAGCTCTAATGACATGAACTTGGGCAGGTGATAACCAAGTTACATCACCTACAAAATGGAGGTGATAATCCCTGGCCTGGCTACCATGCAGGGTTTTGAGAGGTTGCTGGACCTATTGGTGCACATTTATAAATCCCAGCTACTCTAGAGGCTGAGGCAGGAAGATTTCAAGTTTTGGGCAAGCCTTGACAACTTGGCCAGATCATTCATATATATATATCCTATATAGATGATGAAGAGAAATAGGGCTGGAGATGTAGCTCAGTGGTAGAATGTCCTTGGATTCAATCCCCAGTACTTCAAATAAAGTGAATGCTACAAAATTATCCCGTAAAAACTTCTGTATTTATCAAGTAAACCACTATTTAAGAAAGTCCTCTGTAGGGCTGGGGCTGAGCTCAGTGATACAGCACTTGCCTAGCACATATGAGGCACTGGGTTTGATCCTTAGCACTGCATAAAAATAATAAAATAAAGGCATGCTGTCCATCTACAACTACAAAAACATTTTTTTTAAAGTCCTCTTTAAATCCTGTCTCCTTTTACTTCTATTGAACATCAATGCACTTTAGTTTTCCTCATTTGTCATGTGAAAATAACCTCTATCCATTTCATATTAACTATTGGGATTCCCAAAACACTTTATTATTAACAAGAAATTATTAAACAGAAGAATGTAAAATCCTGAATGTTTCTCACAATCCCAGCTAGTTAAATTCCTATTCCCTCAAAGAGCCCCTATATATGGATGGAGGCTTATCTTGTTAAAACAGAATAATAAAAAACATTGTGATGACTTTATATACTTCCTTATCAGTTAAAGAGCACTGTCACAGTAAGAACAGAAATACCCAAGATCCTGGTTATCCTACAATGTTTATTCTATAAACATAGTAGGTACTCAAAGATAAATAAGTGATCAAATAAGTTTATGAATTTGTTTGGTCTATTTTATGACAGCAGACAAGCAAAAGATCATTTTAAGAAAAGAACATTTTATGCTCAAAACCCAGAGGTGGAGATTTTCCAGTTTCTACCATCTTGATACATGGGTTCACACTTGATCATCTACTTGGTCTTAAATAAAGCTAGGTGGCAGCAACATGGGAGAAACAATCAAAATTCAATTTATAACTATTTAAATTTCTCTGTAACAAAAGAGTACAACCTGAATTGACCGAACACTTCGTTTCCATAAGACAATTAATCCTACTGCCAACAAAATTAAAAAGCAAATCCTCAGGGCGATTTGCACAGCCGGAGCAAGATTTTCTAGTAGCCCCAAATTTGTTTGCTGAGGCACATTGGTCTCTCCCAGAAAAGTTGCTTGTAGCCAATTCCATATTGTGCCGAGAGAGAGAGAATCTAAGAGGTTGTCCCAAGTAGAAGATGAAGGTGAAGATGGTGTCATTTTAATACAGCTTCAGGAACTACATGTGCAGAGGCTTCAGGAATTTAGACTGAGTTAGGGAGAGTGATCTGGGAGCCCAAATGTTCTGGAGTCATTGTGAGCTGTGCTTTGTGATGTCACTGTTCCAAAGGTCAGATCCTTCTCACTCAAAATCAGGCACTAGCCTGTGTTTTCAGTTTATTCTATTGCTTCCTTTCATCTTTGGCTAGTCGCAGCACTCTCGGATATAATTTTCTGCAGTGATGGAAATATTTTATACTTGCCTTGTCCAATGTGGTAGCCACCCTTCACTTCAAATATGGGTAGTGGCCAGGTGTGGTGGCATACATTAGGGACTGTAACCCTGGTCATTCTCCAGGTTGAGGCAGGAGGACTATAAATTCTAAGCCCACCTCAGCAACTTAGTGAGAGTCTGTCTCAAAATAAACAAAAAATACTGGGAATGTGGCTGAGTAGTAAAAAGCCCTGGGTTGAATCCCAGTGCATAAACCTGGGTTGTGTTGCAAAGGAACTAAATCTTATATTTTAATTTTAATTAAATTTAAATTGTCACATGGAGCTCATGGCTACTCTCTTGGACAGTGTAGATGGAGAACATTTCCAACAATTCCTTGAAATGAATGGCAGTTATTTCTCACATGATGTGAGAAAACTGGAAATTTGAGAAGATAGGATTTAGAAAGGGCTTTCTTTAAAAGTGAGTAGTTTACTTTGTAAATGTGGAAGGCAGTTACTACTGGATCATTTTGTAGCTTTTCATTCTTTTCAAGTCACTATAATTTAGAAATTGTGATTTTTAAGAAGGGTTTTCATATATTTGAGACTCATTTGCATACCTATTTACAGATGGGGGAATCCCACCTTCACAAGATTTTTATTAGGAACAAATGGCATAATTTTATAAAATATTTTGTAAGCAATTGCTTGCTACACTGTAACCTGCATGATGGGTTATCAAATCAATGATTTATTGACTAGTACCTAACAACTCAGCAAGATGGTGGGAAGATATTAAGTGGATGTCCTGTTCCCAAAAAACTTTCATGAAAAAACAATTCACAAGTAAATATCATCTAAATTGTTAGATCAGATTATAAAGACAGAATTCAGAAAAGTTTGCAATGAGAGGAGGGGCACAATAAATGAAAAAGGATGTTATGACAAATTAAAAAAAATATTATCTGATACATGAGTTGGAGAAATAGATACCACAGGCTTTGATGTGTTCATTCTAGCTGAGAGAAAGAACAGGAATAGAAGAGCCTCATGGAGAGGGAACCACTCCATTCTGTACCTGCAGGAATAAAAGGAGCCATGGAAGTTGCTTGAGTCAGCAGAGGTGCATCAGAAAAAGGTGTCTAGGATGCTGTTGGAGATGGAGTGCTTGTCAGAAAGAAATGATTGACTGATTTAGGAATGACTGCTATTAATGTTAAACCCACAGCCCACCAGCAGTTCAAAAACTATTAAAGAATGGTATCCAGAAACTTTTTGAATAAAGATAGGATTATGATAACTGAAATATTTCACAAGACTCCCTATATTAGATTAGATAAGCACCTTATACTTCCAGCACACCTATATCCATTTGTGCAATTTGGGGCTTAACATCTGTTTTCCCTATTGTCAATCCAACACAGGAACCAACCATATATCCACTTTATTGACTAATGTATCCCTAGTGCTTGGCACATAATAGGCATTTGAACATTTAAAAAATATATTTTTAGTTGTAGATGTACACAATCCCTTTATTTATTTATATGTGGTGAAGACAAACCCAATGACTCAGATGTGCTAGGCAAGTGCTCTATCACTGAGCTACAGCCCCAGCCCACTTGAACATTTTTGCAAATATATTTATAGGAAAAACTGTTCATTCATCAAGTGGTTATTAATGTATTTTACTATTTGTTTAGACAGAAGCATTACAGAGTAGCTGCTAAGATAAGCCTTGGGAACTGAGGATGCTCAGTGGTGGAATGCTTGCCTAATTAGGTATTGCCTAATCCCCAGCAATGCCCTCCCACCCCGTGCCTTTGAAGTATAATGGATCTGGGTTTGAATTTTAGCTCTTTTTCTCTTTTTGCTTACTTGGGCAAGTTATGTAACCTAAGCCTCAATATCTTCATTTGCAAAGTGACAATAATTCCTATCTTGCAGAGCCTGTAAAAAGGATTATATAACGTGTGAAAAGAACCATGTCACACATATAGGTAAGGGCTACTATTACTGTAACATTTATGACTAAATAAAAGGTATGGTAAGTCTCCAAAGCATAAGGTGCCTCAAAGAAAATCTGGCTCAAAAAAATCATTAAGTTTTTGATTTCTTTTCAACACATGAACACATTTAACAATAAACTTAAACACCATCTATGCAGGCATCTCAGCACACCCCTAGAGTGTCATCCACCCATGCACCACTCAGCAGTCTTTAATATCACACCTTCCTAACTTAACAGCTACTTTCAAGCCTTCAATAGGTTCTTCACTGCCTTTCAAATAAAATCCTATGAAGAACATGGCTATAGGACACTAAAATTTCTTTTTTCTATTTAGCTATCCAAACTTCTCTCCTTTGCCTCTCCCATTTATTCTTCCAACTACAGTCATAGTATTCTTGTTAATGCCTCTAACAGTCAAAGCTGTTGCACCACAAACCCACCACCGCTCCAGGATTGAACCTAGCAATATACTACAACTGAGCTTCAGTCCTTTGAGACAGGGTCTAAATTGCCTATGCTGGCCATGAACTTGTGATCCACCTGGCTCAACCAGCCTTGAGTAACTAGGATTAGAGGCATGTGTCACTTTGCTAAGAGGATTACCTTTACATTACCTGGCTATCCATCAATAGATATTGATTCTTCGTTTGTCTAAATACCATGTTCTCAAGGAAATTTTGCTGTTTTTTTGGTCTTCAAATCAATTTTAGGGTGCTTTAAAAAAAATTTTTTTTTTTTTTAGTTGTAGTTGGACACAATATCTTTATTTATTTTTATGTGGTGCTGAGGATCGAACCCAGGGCCTCTCATGTGCTAGGTGAGCATTCTACTGTTGAGCCACAATCCCAGCCCTTGGGGTGCTTTTTTTTTTTTTTTTTTTTTTAGGTGTAGGTGGACACAACACAATGTCTTTATTTTTATGTGGTGCTGAGGATTGAACCCGGGTCCTGCCTGTGCTACGCGAGTGCTATACCGCTGAGTCACAATCCCAGCCCTTTGGGGTGCTTTTTTTAAAAAAATTGTTTTTAGTTGTGGATGGCACAATATCTTTATTATTTTTTAATGTGGTGCTGAGGATCAAACCCAATGCCTCACATATGCTAGGCAAGTGCCCTACCACTGAGCAACAACCCTAGCCCTCAATGTTAGCTTTTTTATGGTACAACTTTAATTATCTGTATTATTTTGCTTAATATCAGGCTTCCCTACTAGAGTCTGATGTGTATGATACAGGAAGCTTACACCCTGTTCTATACTCAATCAGAAGCTAGCAGATGGCATATGCTTAGTAAATACATGGTTTCTTGTTAACTATTCATATAACTTTCCTAGGTCTCTAGTCCTTTTTCTACACCTCCTAGCTAAATCTGCCAAATATTTGTTTGCAGGGTTTTTTCGTTTTTTGCAATGCTAAGGATTGACTGTAACCTTCAACATGCTATTCATCTTGCCCCTCTACCACTGAGTCACAACCTAAACCTCATTTATAGGTTTTATAATCTCCTGCCTATTCCATTTACCTTTCTTTCTCAAAGGGGTTTGGACCTCCAAATGCAGTCTGTCAAAAATATTTATTCTTGAAGGTGTAGACCAAGTAGGTCACACTAGGCCAGACTTTCTACATGACAGCTTACATATTAATCAGTAGTATGATGACAGGAGGCATCATTTTGGGGGTGGAAAGGAACCACCTTTCTGATTTTCATGTTTCTTTTACAAAGAAAGCAAACTTGACTTTTTCACAGGTTACATCTTAGTCAGAAACAATATGCACAAGTTTTCCTTATTGGTTTCATCACTGCCAAATCTTAAGTTTTTCTCAAATCCTTTTCTTCACCCTTCAAGTCCCAACAATCTTGTCTTTTTACATATTTTGTTTCATCTACTCTTCCCTTTGCTAGAATTACTATGATTACTTCAACAGTCATATTACCTCCTATCCTGTTCTTTGAACTTCAAATCACACTTGAATTTCAAGTCATCTATAAATTAATTTGAATGTGTACTTAACATCCTTCAAAGGTTCTCAGTTGCTTATAGACTCAAGCCCAAACTCTTCAATGTTCACAGGTTCCTACTTATCTCTACAATAAGCATCAGCCCTTTTACTGCTAGTATATCAAATTATTTGTAATTCCCTGGAAACAGGCCTTTGAATTTACTGTGCCCTTCACATTCTGCTTAGCATACTCTTTCCTTTCTACTGGTCAACCTCTGAACTTCTTCCTCTGGGAGCTATCTTGAATCCCAGAGCTAATTACTCTCTCAGAATTTTCTACAAAAAGTCAAGGGTCATTCAAAAAGAACCTTGATCTGATGATCTGGTTAACAAAAAAAAATTACTGGGGTAAAATATGAGTGCACATTCCAGGAAACACAAGTGCAATTCCAGTTTATATGTGACATGAAAACTCATTATGAGTAAACCAGAAATGGGTGAAAAATTGTAATTTATTGAAACTCAACTCAAAAAATATAAGATGCTGTAGTGTACAATATATTACACAAAGCACCCTTGGGTGCACATTCAAGTCAAGTAAGAACTCCATATCCCTTTCCCTAGCCCTCCCACCCTGGGACCTTAGTATTTGTTTCATATACAATCATGCACACTTAATTTGAAAAAGGAAGCCCCAGTATATTTTGATGTATTAATTAGCACCAAACAAGAGTACAGTTCCGTTTTTTTTTTTTTTAATAAACAAACAAACAAAAAACCCAATCAATAAACCAACTGGAGAGCTAATGGACTCAGCCAATACTGCTGACATAGATATTATACATTCATGTAAATACACAGCCTATTCTACCCTAAACAACGGTGTGGCTGGTTCTCAGCCTTTGTTCATGTTGGCAATT